ACAATAATGGCGTGTGATGAAAGTTTATGAATTGAAAGTTTTTTTATTTTATTTGTTATGATTTGTTGTTGATAATTAGATAAATTTCTTAAAAACGGTGTTAATTTTTATTACAAATGTTATTACCGTTTTGGCAATTGTCGATGGGTACATTTTCTCAACAGGGCAATAAAAATGTATCAAATAATTTATTGAGTAACATTTGTTGAAAAAAATCTGAGTGACATTTAATTTTTCAGCCACATGTAGAAGAGGATAATGGAAATTGTTTGAATTTTTCATAACTTTGCAATACTACACAATAGCGAACGCTTGATTTGTCAACAATTCAACTGATATAACATTCAGGGTGTTTTTATAAAGGATTATTTAATTTTTGAAATGAGTTAAAGACCAAGTTTTATTGTTTATCAGCTGATCTAGAAGTTCGTTTATAAAAATTCAAGATTTTTTTACATTTTTCTATTTTTTTTCAACTTAAAACTTGGTAAATAATGCAAATACGGTAATGGACCTTCAAAACAAATTTTCTCTGTGATAAAATATCTCCTAAATGATATACATATGTATCTCTTATAGTTTAATTAATATGTGTTTTAATTGATATTTATCTGACCCATGTTGCATTTTAAATATTTCTTTTTTTATTGCATCACATATTTATATTCTGCAACATTTTATACTTTCTTTATAATATACAGTTATGAACTCTTTAAAATTTATCAAAGCTGTACTTCTTCTGTACTTTCCATTTACGACTATTCATATGCCTGTTTGGTATAGAGGCATAACCTTTATTTACCAAAAATTGATCTCTCCAAAAAATATACTCCTCCAATTTAAACAAGATTCCTTTGGCTGGGATTTTATCGAATGAGGGAATGAATTGATGGATGTAGCTGTTACGATGTGGTAGAAAATCATAATGAAAAGAGAAATGAAAATTTCTGTTTTTTACCACTTTCATTTGTAACTAACGTTACTGCATAAACAATAGACTTATTGTATAAGTTTAAGAATGTTCATATAGGACGAAACTGCAGTAACGTTAGTTACAAATAAAAGTGGTAAAAAACATAGACATTTTCATTTCTCTTTTCAATAAGGGAATGAATGTCATTAAGTACTGTCGTTGATGACATGAATAGATTTAACTCATTCGTGACATAAGGTCGTAATTTTGTGAATGAATTGATGAGTGCTTCATTTTGTAATGTTATCCAGATTTGTGCTGATTAGGCAATAAGATATGTGTCTTATTCTGAAACATCGATGTCCGCCATTGAGAATGACAGCGTTCCATGTAAGTGAAATTTTTCCTCTTCCATATACTATAGAAATCCTGTGAATGATATCTGATTCAATTCCATAACGAATGTTTGGAGTACAAACCGAATAGGAAAGTGTTTTTTATATAATTCAATGTTCATATAAAAGTAGTTGTTTCGAAAGTATTTTTCTTTCGTGTAATTCAATGTTTATATAAAAGTAGTTGTTTCGAGAAGGTTTTTTCTTTCGTGTAATTCGCTGTTTATATAAAAGTAGTTGTTTCGAGAAGGCTTTGTCTTCTAATTTACGTATGAAAATTACTTCTTTGCGTGATCTACACATCTTTGAAGAGTTTATTTTGAATTTGGTTGCCTTTTTCCTTTCTTTGGAAGATTCCCACATTTTTTGTATAAAGAAAGCCAAAACCTGTCTTTCCTAAGTATTTGAAGTGTTCAAATAACAGCATAATTTATTCAAATAGTAAAATTGATATTCAACCCTACAACAAATGTGTCCATGCCATAATGGGTGCGCAGAGCCCTATTTTCAGCCTTGACTTGAAATTTTAAATAATGGAGGTAATATATGTCACCATTAAATTACAAGAAATTGTTACATTGCAGGAAAAACCAAGATATTACTTTGAGAGAATTCAAGTTCATTTGGCACATGGAATATGGTCACCGACAATGGGGTAGAGCAATTGGAGCATTTTTCCTCATTCCAGCTGCTTACTTTTGGATGAGAGGTCGACTAACTCCTGGTTTGAAGAAAAGAGTGTTGGCCTTCGGGTCCCTAATAGGAGCTCAGGTGTGTTATAAAAATTACAAATTTTTAGGTTATTTGCGTGTTGTTATTCAATGAACTTTTGTAGTACCTGTTTTTGCGCCTTTCAAAGTAACTTATTGTACTATTAAATCTCTCACCCCTCGATTTCTACATCTATGTTTTACTGCATGAAACCAACGTCTTTACAAACAATTAAAAATATTAGGTAGTCATAACTTATGATAAAAGTTTACAGGTAATATTGAAATTGTTTAAAAAGTCATCTGAACCATTTTTTGAAAGATATTTTTAGTGGAGTAGTCAATTTTTCTTACCGTGTTTTGAGTGTCTACTGAATTTTAATAATCCACTGAAGAGTGCAATTAGTATGCAATAGTTTGCCCTTTATACACTAGCGACCTCCCCGGCTCCGCACGGTTGCAATGCTGATACTAAATATACATATAAACGCGTGCGATCGCTGCTAATCATAAAGTGCCATAGGGCGAAGTGCGGCCTTCGACGCGCTAGTTATAGACACGCGCTGCCGGACCCCCGGCCGTTACCGCCGCAACCGCTATGTCCCTGCATTTCAAATCTGTAATATCTTCGAAAATATTCATTTAAATTACAAGCTGTAATGGACCATATTGATCTATATTAAATACACAATGTATTTGAGGTACTTATAAGGATTAATGATGTGTTGCTGAATGATAAGTGAGGTGGTGCAACAGGAATAATGTGAAGAATAAGAACTACCCAGAGAGTGTACTTCTTGCCTATTTTCTGAAAAAATCTAAATATGTTAAGCCCTCTTCCATGTGGTCATATTATTCCATGCTAAAAACTACTTTAAATGTACATGACAATAGAGACATCAGTAGGTACGCAAGATTTCCCTTTATTTTTGAGAAATCTTCAATTGTATAAAAATATAGGTTTCATTTTAAGCAAGATTTATTGAAGCCTATGCATCAGTATTCTTTTGACATATGGCTTTCTAAAATAGGAAACAAAAATGTATTATACAGTAGCTGGTTAACGAAAAAAACAGATTTTCAAATAGAAACAGAACAGGTCATCCAGAACTTACTACAAAGCAGTACTGAAAGGGAAAAACACTTTTTGCAAATTTCCACAAATATATATCAAGTTTTTTTTGTAAGAGTGGCAAGTTTTGTTCTTAAAATCATTGTAAAACCGTAAACACTCCAACCCCCAATTTTCAAATTGAAACGGGGGCGAGTGATACCTCATTTAAAAGAACATTTGATTCCTAATTCATTGCTGCTTTGCGGTCCACTCGTTTTGAGATGTAGCTCTGAAATTTTAACAATAAGTTTTCAATAAAATGCATAAGTCAAATCGATTTTAAAGAAAAACTTATTATTTTAACTCAAACGTCAAAGATAATTCCCTTCAGAACAATTTACAGTTTTTGCCATCAATAGAGTATTGGGTTTCTGCTTGCTAAACAATTTGTGAAATGTGGAAATGCTTTTAAAATTCATTTCATAACCTTTCGAAATTGACAGTCACGGATTACTCAATTCCGGAAGGAGTAGAAATGACTGGATTTTTAAAATAATGAATATAGAAATCGTGCTGTCCCGCTCACACCATAGTTTCATTATTTATAATCCCCGAAACAAACCAGACTCATTTACTAGTGATGCTTTGGGGTATATTTTCTATGGTTTACCCTGTGTGTAGATCTGTTTTTCACTTCTCATTTATTCAAATCAATTTTATCAGTTGGATACAGTATCTCTATGCTGTGCCATACTAGTCGATTTTGTGAATCTTCTTTAATTTAATCTCCAAGTGAACCATTTCCATGACTAAATTTATCAAAACAGTAGCGTTAGATGTCAAATTCATACACTTGAATGTATCAGTTATCATTGTTATTAAATGTTAGTATCTTTAAAATTACAATAATATAATTTTATGTATTTGATGAGTACAGTTGAAAGATATAATAAATGGAAGAGTAGAATCATATATAAAACCTTGTTTCCAGGGATTAATGGGTTGGTACATGGTGAAGTCAGGACTGGAAGACCGATTTCACGGACAGAGTGACGTGCCAAGAGTATCACAATATAGACTCGCCTCTCATCTCAGCCTTGCATTTATTTTATACACTCTCTTCCTCTGGTCAGCTCTAGATATCTTAGCGCCTGCACAGAGCATTGCTATTGCCAGTAAAACAGCTCTGAAAGCTGCAAGGAAATTCAGGTGGCTGGCACATTCTACCAAGGCGATGGTATTTTTGACAGCTGTTTCAGGTATTCATTTAAAATAACAGCATTGTTTTATTAACTTTATGATTTCACAAACTGCTGTTTGACAAATGTTGAGAGTTGAGAACAATGGTCGAAAACTTCTAAAAACCATTAAGAAATTAACAAATGACTGTATTTCAGGTTTTATCAATTGAATTATGTGTTCCTAGGAGTTGATAGCTTGATAAAAATATAAATTATTTTCCTAGTTTTTCTGTGATGGGTTTTGTCACATGTCCTATTATATTTAAATTCCTGTAATATTCAAATAATTATATAGTTAGGAAACCACCATAAATTCATATTGTCGGTCCAATGCTTACCAAATAATAGGACCTGTGATAAGCAGGATGTCTTGAAAACTTTGTTAGTAATGTCAGGGTAACACTGATTTTTTAATGTTATTTTCCAAGAATAAAACGTTTCAGGTGCTTTCGTGGCTGGTCTTGATGCCGGTCTTGTCTATAATTCATTCCCAAAAATGGCCGATAAGTGGATACCAGATGATATATTAGCTCTCAGCCCGAAACTGGCAAACTTCACTGAAAATCCCACAACAGTTCAATTTGATCACAGAATACTTGGTACAACGACATTGTGTCTCATAACAGCGCTTTGGATATTGTCAAGAAGGAGGATATTGCCACCAAAAGCATATATGGCTGCAACTGTGTTAGGAGTAATGGGTTACCTACAGGTAAAAGGCAATAATGAGAAAATAGGCAATACGTGTAACATTTTTTTTTTTAGGTTACACTGGGAATAACCACACTATTGACTTTCGTGCCAACTAGTATAGCTGCTACTCACCAAACAGGATCTTTGGCATTGCTCTCATCTGCCATTTGGCTTACACACGAACTTAAAAAGTTACCTAAATAAGTATTATAACAAAGTAAATGTGATAAATGTTACATTCAAAAAGGAGATCAGTTGTAAATATATACATTTCGAACGCAAATAGTCTCCCCGCTCCTCAACTTTGAACATATCAAGGTGGGACAAAATTCACGTAAAAAGATATCATTTTCAGTACTTTTCGAGGAGAAAGACAATAGTGTTGCATCACTAGTTGCTTGTGAAAAGAAAAGGGGTTTTTATGATAACTCGTTCTTTCTAACTCGATCATCATTCCAACTCCCACCCCGGAGTATGCTTGTGGAGTTGTTTCTTGGCTCTGTCTGCAGATGGCGCAGTGGACATTCCACTGAATCAACTGCAGAGAGATTTAACGACTAGCTGGAATTATATTTGTGCCTGATGGTTTTACTTCAACTCTCTGCGCGGCATTTTTTACATTGCGAACGTCAATGAGAAAATGTTATGTAGTCAGTGGGACACTCTGTAATCTTGAATTTCAAGAGAGCTTCTTTCTTCAAGTAAATGATGTGTTTCAAGTCCTATTAGAACCATTTAGGAAATTTTCTAGTCGATTTTTTTTTAATTGGAACAAAATGGTGAATGTATTCGTAAATTATGTCATAGAAAACATTAAGCATATCGTGAGTTGGTCCGTTGAGTAACAGTTGACCCCAATTGTCAAAACCCAAATAATATTGGATAGATTTAAAAGTCAGCGCTTTTAAAATCATAATTATACTCATCGGTCATGGGAGTTACATCATTAGCTGAAGGTAGATCGATACTAATTAATAAGGGGGATACAGCACGTGGATTAGAGGTTGTGTTGTATCAAAGTTAATTTCCGTTTTTTTTTTGGCCGAGGTACGCAGGTTTTCATGCATGACGTTTCGTCTACTACTGCAGCAGACATTATCAAAGGCGATGATGTAACGGTCGAAGTATTCGAGTTGTTCCCAACGCAGAAACTACAATGCTGGAATTTGTACCTTGTATGTGTACAATTAAGGACAGGTAGCCAGATTTTTTAATGTTCATTGCCTATTTTCTATTGCCTCTCTATATACTCTTGGTTAGTAATTTTGAGTTTTATTGGGTAATACAGTATCTTTGAATGAGATTATGTGAGTGCCTTCTTTGAGAGCATGTGCGGCTTCAGCTGGGGTTTGTCGAGGCGGCAATTTGTTGTGTTGTTTCCCAAAGATTTTCTCTAAGAGTTTTTCCACCTCATTTAATAATTCTTCTACGGCCTTCATCAGTTTTGAAACTTGTAAAGACTTTCTTGGCAGTCTTTGCAGCCAAAGGGAAGTTGCTGGGAACCCCTAAAATCCCATTCTCTAGTCTCAGTTGCATTGATACCAGAGCATTTGTCATGTGGAAATCGATTACAAGCAAACATGGGATCATTCGAATTAAAAATAATCGGTCATTCAATTATTGCAATCACTCGAGATGTCAAATGGAATCATTCGAACGATTCAGATCATTCGAATGTTGTATGCATCGAATCAAATTAGTAGTGAGTGAAATAGTCGATAACAGTATTCTAGTCTTGCGCCTCTACGCACCAGTGCAGTGCCGGCCTATATACCGACACATGTTTGTAGGATGTGGTGAAATACAGGTTTGGCCTGAGAATGTTCAAAAATTTGTTGCCGATAAACTTTGAATAATTACAAGTACAAACTTTATTGAAATTTAATGGTGGCTTGTTAAAATATATTGAAAACATAAACAAAAAATAAAAGTCCTCAGAAATGAAAATATATTATATGTTGGTTTAAATTGGTAGTGTTACAAAAAACTTGAGAACTCTCTTGCAAATTCGGCACTGAACTTGAGAACATTTTCTATTTTGTCGAAATGTTCCCAAACAATAGATCTCTTAGCTCTGAGCCGCATTGTTCAATATCAAAACAGTAATAATAACGGAATAAAGGTATCAACTACACAATAAGTAAGAGAAGAAAAAATAGTGGAATATATGAGTAATAACAGAAATTTCGTTGCAACGGCTTCGAATCCTCCAAACTGAAAAATTATTGCCACTGTTTCAATTTCAATGCTCTCTGTTTGTATTCTTAGTGCGACAAATTTAAACAATCCTAACTCATAAAATAATCCAGTTCATTTGTAACCGATTCACGATTCCTGCCTTCAAGCGAATAGCAACCTTAAAGCGAATTAATGTGGGCGTTTCACATGGCCTCATGAGCATCGAGTGATTGCGTGCTTATTGCTTGCATCGCCGGATCTCGAATCAAATCGTTGAGTGTCGAGTGACGTAGTATCCGAGTGATTTCATTCGAATGATATTTCGATTTTTGGGATAACTCAAGTACTCATCTTTCGATTCTCAGAATCATTCGATTATGCCCATCACTGATTACAAGTATACAATGATTACAACTATCACATTGAGTTCTTTGTTGGTTATTTTTTTTAATTCAAGTATGGCACAGTAGATGTCGTTAATTTTCTCAATAACGTTTTTAGCAGCAGTTATAAAGGACAAAATAATAATATTTATTAATTCCTCATTGATCCCAGTTATATAGGATAAATCAGACAAACATTATTTTGACCACCTACATGAAATACTAACATGTAATATAAAAATATCAATTGATGTCTTACTACTGAGAAGCAATGTTTGAGTAGAGAGTTTATAGTTTAGAATTGCTTTGGCTCATGATTCTAAAAAAATGGATCCATTCAGTTTTGAGTTAGTGCAATATATAGAGTCATCAAATATTAAAACTGTACTAGGGATTATTAAAATAAACAGAATAGTAAGAAACTTGTTAGTTGCTCGTCTGCTATCAAGAGAAACTTTTGATATGATAGATATTCCTGCTCATTCAGTTCTATTCAAGTCTTCTGGTAGTTTAACATCAGTAACACTATAATTTAATTCTAATATTGCGGTCGTAGGTGATTAACTAAAAAACAAAATATAATTCAAAAAAATCGTGGAATTAAATTACTACGTTAATCTGGTAGAAGTTTTCTGTAGAACTGAATTTGAATTTCAAAGGCTTGACTTACAACCTATCTTGCTTCTCACTTTTCAGTTTATTTATCCTCCATTAGAGATTGCCTTGTTTTTTCAGTCAATTGTTTTTTTTCATCTTTTTTATTGATATTTCCAAGTTTCAAGGTCAAGAATGTCTGCTAGTTAACTCTCCCATATCTTGAAAGGACAATCAAGGAACACCTCCAAAATAATTCACAATGTGAAATGTTCATTTTTCATATTCAGGTAGGCTAGATTCTTTCAAGAGTCTTTTGTATTCCTTTTAAATTTGGATTGCAAAATAATGTTTTTTCAGTTTACCCCTTTTCGTAGAATTTAATAAAGCTGTCTTACACTCGAAATATTTCCAAATTGACATCTTGCATCCACTTACCCTTGTTCACATATAACCTGCAAATAAATGAAACACCTTTGCTATCGTAACAAAATTTCATTATATATTTCATAAATGTATTTACACACTGACACAATCAATATAAAACAACTCTCAAAAACTGCCACTTAGCGAGAAAGTGTGCATGTGTTCCCGCTTTGATCATAAAATCCTATTGCTTCAGTATCTTGTCAGGATTTTATTTATTGTTCAAAATGACGCTTACAGTCCTTATTTAATATCTATCAGCGAGTATTATTGTTGTTCGAAGCTACTGGTTCTCAGAAGTGTAACAAAATAATCATAATTTAGAATAACATCAGCATTATAGAAGTTATGGATGTTATGAATTGATTCAGCAACTATATTTTTAACTAGATCTGTGCGTTTCTCAAATGTTTGTTAATCTATGGAATTTCAAAGTCAAGAAGTTATTTAAAAACAGTAAATTAGAAATTCAAATTTTATTGAACAATTCAAAACGAACCTGAAACAATAATGGCACATTTATATTATAAAAAAAAATCACATTGGAATGAACATCCAGTGTCGAGCATGTTAAAACAATTACTTCAAATTTTCAAAATGTATATCAAGGTAAGGCAGTGCAAGTGCATAATTTTGTCATACATTTTGTCTTAAGAGAAAAAAAAAGGTACAATCTGGTGGCTGAGTTCAGCCTTATCAGTCAGCTGCAAGGATCTCTAAAGTTGACAACTTGGCGACACTTTGTTCAGTTTTGGAAATTCAAAGTGGAAAATGATTGTTGGAATTCAAGTAACATTATATTGTGAGATTTCCACTAGGCAAGCAACTTCACTAGATCATTGGAAGTTGTTTTTTTTTCAAGTGCGTTAGCCAGACTTGAAAAGTCAGCTGATGATTTTAAAGGTCCAGGAAAAAACAACTGTACAATTGAAAGTTGGTGATTCAGAGGTATCCCGAACAAAAATTAAAAACAACTAAACATTAATGGATGGTTTTCAAATTCTTGTTGAAGTTGAACTTTACAATCTACACCATGCACTTACCCCTTCTTACTTTATATATTGTTGATTATGCTATCAATGAATTACTTTTGAGATCAGGTCATTTTTTGTGGCAATTTGTGCCTTTATGATAAAAAGATGAGAAAATGCCACAAGTCTCAGTCCTTCCTAGGTTTTGTAGTTTCAACTGAAATATTTCATTAGGGATATTACCTTTTTCCCAGAAAATAAATGAATTTTGCCAAAATTTGTTTCTTCTATCAAATAATTCTAAGATACCATTTAACGCAAGTCAAATAATTATAAGTTTTCCATTTACAAACATTTGGAAAACCTTCTGTCAGATCATACCTTAATTAACACTTTTTGTAGTTTAACAATAGTCAATGATGGTTTTATAATTCTCATATTATTTAGGAAATATTTTATCTAGAGCCCTATGCTACTTTATGTTATATCATATATAAAACCTACAGCCTCTCCCTTGGCCAACATATATAGATAGCGGAAATTATTTTTGTAGCAGTGATTTTATTAATAGAATCGATATGTTTCTCTTTATTTTTGACATTTTTTATTTTGAACTTTCCCTTAAAAAAAATCACTGTTATATGAAAGTGAAAAGCTATGCAACCATATTGCCTTGAAATTTACAGTAAGTTTATCTATCTTATATCTTTCCATGATATGAGAATGAAATTAAAAAGTTATTGGGAAATATATAAAAATATTTCTTTGATTGACGACTTGATGTAAGAAATATCGTGGAAAATAGACAATAGTGTGTTTTTGTGGTGTATCCTCAGTGATATAAAAATATAGAAATAATAGGGAGTCTAAGAAGGTTCTAATCTGAATAAAAAAATACATTATGTATGCTTATGGAACCAAATCTATTTTCATCATTAAAAGCAAATTGAAACAATATATATATAAAATCGAAATTCAAGTAGACAGTCAATGCGAAGTGAAATATCTTTTTCTATATCAATAAAATTAGTTTTTCTTATGTTTTCAATATTTTTTTGAAGCCAGTAATGTTTCAAGATAGACATGCTTTAGAAACAAAATAAGAATAAAAGTTACTTCAACACTGTTTAGGTTTGTTTTGGGCATGGGGAGGGCCAAGTAACTACACCAACAATATTGCACACTGAATGTAATTGAATTTTCAGAGGGCTCCAGATAATCCAAAAACTATAAGAATATATCAGTCGACTTGACAACATAATTTCTAAGATTTGAAAATATTAAAAACCATTATTATCCTATCCAGTCAAGAAAACCTAAAATTATATTTTTCCAAAAACTTACATAAATATACAAATAGAAATTACAAATATCATTGGGATTTATAGTGATAGAAAACAGCACAAAAATATTAAGCCATTACCCTTTTTCTTTTAACGAGTCAGGATTCCGTCATACCTATATAAAATATCAGAATACCATACACCAGAAGTTGTAATAAAAAAAAAAAAATAAAAACACTGCCAGACCAATTTCTAATACCTGATAATTTAGAATGAGAAGATTATGAACCTGAAATTAAATTACCGATTTGATATTCTTCTGGACGGACAGAGTTTTGTTAGATAAACGAAGATATGTACCCTTCACCTGTGCTTACTGAAATTACACCTAGCTCAAATTTCTGGGTAACAAACCTTCTGCTTTTATTGTATTGATTGATAACATAACGAAATAATCAGATATCAAAGATAAGACTTTGTTTTATAAGAACTTTCTCCTAACTCCTAACTTTTTGGGATTTATTTGAATGATTTCTCATCTTTTCTCTAAAACGAAGTGATTGGCATTTAAAGGAGTATGAATACTCTCTACACTCTTGAAGATACAACTACTTGTAAGGCAAAATATTGAGAAATTAAACGACAGTCAACAGTTTCAAAAAGTGGCCAATATAATGGTACCTGACTATGAAAGTCTCAATCAATTTATTGTATATACAAATGGAAATATTTAGCTTAAAAAAAGGGTACATGTTCACATATTTTTATCGTGTGAATTGAAATAAAGACTTCATATCAGTAAAAGTCAAAAACAACTTATTAGTCATCTAGATCATGATAATTCAGAATATAAATACTGAATAACCATTATTCCAGAGTTTCATACACATAAATGTCAATGGTTGTGTACTCTTTCTTTGAAAACTTGGCCAAGAATATTTCTGACTAATACTGTATTAATGATGGTAGAACCATGGTGCTTTCCATTTCATTCCTTCTCCAAAATTGGGACCTATTTCTCAAAAAAAAAATCAAATGACTTCAGTTTTTAAAGAAGCAATCAAAGGGTAAAGCACTTTCACAATCACATGAACTTTTATTGCAGATTAAATTATATATTACAATAAGCTGGGACAACTCATATATTAAATCTGCAATGAACGAATCTTATATACAAATTAAACAAAGAAATCATACCCAGAATCAGTCAAAAGAGTGTGAAACAAATAAATAAATGCAATTGTACCAAAACATCAATATATGCACATTTTAAAACAATGTGCAAAATGTACACTAGTGTCTAGAATTTTGGAGTGTTATTAAAAAACAACTGATCTAAATGAAAAGCTTTGAAAAACGGGAACTTTGATAGTGCTGGTGCTTCAAACATGATTTAATCAATATTTCGATTCTTTACAACGTAAAACTATACATACTGATAAATAAAATAAATGAATTGTCAAGGAAAAATTAAAAAAATAATAAACCTGAAGATTTATGATTTGATCCAGTCGTATAACTATGAGAAATTCAAATAAATTAGAAAACTTAACACTTATGATCAGTCATTTACTGTTAACTTCTCATTACAAAAGCATATAAAAAAATTCAACTCGTTGAAATATTTCCTTGCATCTGGTTATTTTGTTCTTAATATAAAACTATTGATATGAAAACTTTATTCAAATCCTAACTACCTTTGCCTTTGAAAAAAGTCTGCTAACAGCTATACAAAAATTGTTCGTTCTATGGATTTGATCACTCTGTTGAGTCGCCGTGGAGACGAAATACCTATAAATATAACACAGAAAATCAATACCATTCCAAGAGCATTCAGCTATTAACACACACTAGCATAAATAATATATTGAAATTTCGTAGGAATAGTATTAGATATGATGTAATTTTAATTATAACAAAGAAACCAATCTGCAAACATATAAAAATGGCTCGAAATTTCTGATTGATAACTTCAGACCTATTTTAGTATTGCCATCCACATCAAAGGTTTTAGAGAAAGCAATATATAACAGAATAATGTCCCCAAATATTACGCCCTGACAATATGGGTTTAGAAAGAGAATGTCAACTGAACTAGCAATAAATAAAACAATATACATTACTCAAAACATGGATAACAAGAAGTTAGTTTCAACGTTATATTTTGACCTCAATAAGCTTTTGATATGGAGAACCATGAAATATTACTGAGCAAACCTGATTATGTGATAAGGGATGTTACTTTTAATCTTAAAATCATATTTAACAAACGCTTTGTATTTTTGAAAATGGTAAACAGATCTCGGAAACCAGTACTGTATTGCAAGTTCAATTCTTAGTCCCATATTATTTCTGACCAATGCAAATGATTTCTCTAAATTTAATCCAAAAGTCATTTGTTTAAAATTATATCTGCTATTGGAGCTGCAATAGATAGACTTAGCATGTTTAGGCAATTAATTGATGTATCAGATAAAATAATTAAATTGTGTAATGAACACAGCCTACGGCTGAATAGTTCAGAAACATCTGTTTAAAATCTGGTTTTCCGTTAACCAGCTGTCGCACCCATATGAACGACAACCCTCAGAAGTCGAAACTTGTGCGAGCTAAGGATTAACGAGATCTTACCTTTTAACGTGTGATTTCTAATACTCCTAAACATGCTTAACATCATTCCAAACCTCTGCTTCTACTTGAGAATGGGCACTTTCTACCAGAATTAGACAAAATAAAATTCTGGAGAATGTTACTGGACATTATTTTAAGTTGTGAAACAAATATCCAGGAATTGACTTGCAAATTGAACTCCATCTGTGGCTCAAGATATCTTATGAAATCATATGCCAATAGAAAGTCTAACTATGGAATGATTTTTTGGGACGATTCAGTTCACTCTTGTGAAATATTTGTAAGACAAATAAGAATTATTCATTGTATGTTAAGACTCTATAATATAACATCCTGTAAGAGTTATTTCCACAGACACATATTATTACCTGTGCCATCTCTCATTCAGCCATTAGTATGGTTCACTAAATAACATAATAGTAATTTTTCAACTGAACTAAAAATGTCTATAATTTTTGTTATACAAATCTGACTTATCACATTTCATGTATGTAATTAACAAAACCAATTACGTTGTCTGTTCAAAAAATGAGGTGAATGTTCATTTTTTTCAAAAATTATTTATTTATTCATCAATTTCTATTTTGTCCTCTTCAAAGTAGTCCCACTCAGATATACACTTATGCCAGCGTTTTTTTCAATCCTGGAAGATATGAACTTTTTAGTATGTCCTTGAGCTCTCCTAATGATTCGGTTTTTATCTCCTCAACCATCGCAAAACGCTGTTATTTCATGGGTCTCTTCAATCTTGGGAACATGAAAAAGTCGCAGGGTGCCAAATCTGACGAATACGGTGTCTGGACAAAAAATTACGAACAAGCAATGACGAGTGAGCAGGTGCATTATCGTGATGCAAAAGCCATGAATTGTTTTTCCACAATACTGGACGTTTTTCTCGTATTACTTCCCACAAGCGAAACATAAGTTCAAGATAATACTCCTTATCGACGATACGACCTTGTGGCAAGAACTCCTGATGCACAACACCACGGTAATCAAAAAAAACAGTGGGCAAAATCTTGACATTTGACGAACTTGGCGTGTTTTTTTGGTCTTGGCTCTCCTGGGCTCTTCCATTGGGATGATTGGACTTTGGTTTCGATGGGTTAACAATGAGTGGAAGAGGGCGTCTTTTCGATAACTCACCCCAACGTCAAGACCGGATTCTGCCTTTTGCCGGATGACTATACAAGTTTGTATTTCATTTCATTGTTCTATTTTGTAGTCTGGGGCAATAAAATCTATTATTATTATTATATATCCATGATTCGTTACCAGTTATGACAGTTTTAAACAAATCTGTATAGCCGTTGACGTCATTCAACAATTCCTAAGCGTTGCTCATGTGACAGTTTTTTGGTGAAAATTCAGAAATTTTGGAACGAACTTCGCTGCCACACGTTTCATGCTCAAATTTCCGAAAAAATTGCATGACTGCTGTCAACTTGAGTGAATGAAAAACAATAATTATGGTAAGTATGATTTTATTGCTCCAATTGTTTTTATTTTGTTACACACCTACCCTTGTTACAGTCTTATAGATTATAGACCATAACATCTTTCTAACAAAACATTTCTGATTCATTTGTTACATTGAGTTATCAGATTTGTTTTGGAAATATTGAATTTTTTGTGTGTTCTTATGATATATTCATCAAACTCCTAAATACAATCCTGTATTTTCAGAAATTGCCAAGAGAAATCACATGTAAAATAATATATAGTGTGCTCTATTTATATAAATCGAAAAAGGTATATGAATTTTGAATCCAAAAAATATTTTTTTAAAAATTATTTCTGGAGAGTGAACAGAATTACTGTAATAAATTTTTTGGCTTTATATTTCTCCAACATTATTATGTTATGTACTATTTGAAAAAAAAGTGATTTCAATGTAATCTAACTTTATATCCTTGAGAGTAGTTGTTTTAGTTGGGCTTTCTTCCATTGTCTATCTGAAATGAATATCTTTGCAAAGAGTTCTTACTGAAGTAATTACTTTCTTCCTTTCTTCAGAAGTTTCCAATATTTTTTTATAATACTGGAGAAATAGAAAACCAATAAGTTTTTTCCCAAAAACTAATCGCTCCTAAAAAATATTTTCTTTTCGATTAAAAAAAATTAACATATCCTTACAACAAAATCATTTTCAACTGAGTTTTTTCTGAAAATAGGGAAGACTGAAAAGATGAACTTGTTTGTATGATTTTTGGTATAACTTTTGCCACTCAGTATGTACCCATATAATCCTCTACTTTTTAAAGCATTTCTTTGGTAAAATTGGGACACGTGAAGTAATATATGACATTCAATTTGACAAATGTAACTTTGATATGCTACACTTCTGCTTGGTACCCCTTACATTTTTGAATAATTTAAAAAATCCCTATGATTTGTGATACTCAAACTTTTGAAACATTTTTAATGACTTCACCTCAAACTTCTAATGGAAGTACAATATGACATTGAGTGGAAATGATTCACCTTAAATTGTTTATTAACAATCCAGATACCCAACAAAAACCATAACCATATGCACGTAGTTTCCCATAGAAGAGTCGATAAGTCTAATGAATGAAAAAGTAATGAAAAAAAAAATCTGAACTGTTTGATTGATCATATTTAATATAGATATAAAAGGGCAAGCAAACAACAAATAAACTCACCTGATATATATCTGCTTCATTATGATGATCTATTGAGTAGTGGTGAACTTTCTAAGTTCACTATGACCTGTACAACATAACCAGAAGGTACTTTTGCTTCCTCAACATGGAGCTTATCACCTAGTAGTTTGCCGCCAAAAAACCATCTTTGCTTCGATGAGTCTATGCCCTCTTGACTCTAAATGAAAAAATAAAATAAACTGATATTTTCGATAAGCACTTTTGAATGATTGGTGGTTCCTAAAAATGAAATCGCCTTCAAAAAATTTTATGACACACAACTAAAAAATTGAAATGTCTGCAATTTCTAGACCATGAATAATAATAATATGATTAATTAGTTACATATAGTTGAAGCAAGGTCTTGCTGGAAAATAGAAATGAACAGTATGGTGACTTCCAAATGTAGGTATACAAGTGACAAGAAAGGAAGGATTAATCAATTTGAAAATAAGTAACTCTTTTAAATAACCCTTTAAGTAACCCTTTCAAATAAATTAACTCTTCTGGTATTGAAGTCAGTCTCTTTAACATGCAATTTGGTATCATAGCAGTGACATATAAAGGAATCTTGTTGCAGTGGCAGTCCAAAACAATTTTTTTATGTAAACTACAATGAATCAAATGGTATTTTTCATATTATCTACTTAATGACTCATTTTGTTATAATGACCCAGAAAATGGTATAATTAATTTTTTTTTTGTAATGTAGTTTTGTTGTATCAATATTACCTTCAACATTTCGAGGAAGGAGTGGTGTTTCCCTCAGGTACCCTCTATATAAGTCACTGTATCATGTCTATCTATACAAATTTCCCTACATCAAGTAATGTCACTACATTTGTAGCAGGTCAATAAAATAAAAGGGTGAATAATGTATTCTATAAAAGTTATAAATAATGACAAGTGAAAATTGAACAGTTTGAAAATAAGATGGAAACAAGAGAGATGAATGAAATAAAAAAAATTGTACAAAATATGCATAATTGAGTGTATAACATTTTATGGGCAAAAAAATATATAAAATATATGATCCATACTGACATATTAGAGAAAGCTCAATCATGGTCCACACCAAATGACTTGATTCTCAATGAACAGAAAACAGAAACTCAACTTTTGAAACAATTTGCTTAAATCGAGATAACAAAAATTCTACCAAATTTTTGGGAGTACAAATAGATTCCAACCTGAAATGGATAGACCATATATATAGCATGTGTAGTAAACTTAGTAAGACAATTTTTTCTATCAGAAGAATTAAAAAAATATTAAATCAAAGTGCGGCACTTGCAACATATTCACTTTTTCATTCAGTCCTTAGGTGTGGTATAATCAATTGGAATAATGCATCAAAGGTACATCTTAATAGAATATTGTCATTCAAAAATCTGCAATGAGAAGCATAATCTCTGCCAATTATGATGAAAAGTGTCGACCAATATTTGTAAAACTTAAAATAATGACCCTATATTCAGTTATTGTCTATGAAAATCTGCTTATTGTTCAACAAAACTTGATAAATAAAGTTGCTCACAAGGATATACACCAACATGATACAAGAAATAAATTAAACATTGTTCCTTCAGCTAATAGGTTGAAAAGAACAGATCATATAGTAATTAAGCTATACAATGCCTTATCTGACGAATTTCGTAACTTGCCATTTAGAAGATTCAAAAACTTATTGAAGAAAATATTAACCAAACATCCTTTATATGAAATTGATCAATTTTTAGAAGTTATTCAAGAAGAAAGAGACACTTTTGTGGTCACCTCCCAAACTTTTACTCAACTTTGAATATATATAATATGTTAACTATGTGATTTACAATTTGTAAAAGCTCATGGCTTTACATTTTAGTCAATTTTTATAAGATTGGAATTCTATCTTGTCAACTTGTATTTTTTTGTAAATCTAATTTATCTACAAGCATTTTCTAGATACTATATTGACGAATCTTATCCTCTTAAACCTATTTTAGAAATTGTATTGCCGTGTCTAAAAACTGTGTGTTTCTTGAGACTAATAAATTATTATTATCATATATACATCAAATATTCTTATTGCGATGTTCCCACATGGTGCAAAAATTAGGGATTTTTGATATCAAACGAGTTATGACAATTTTTGGTAACAGAAATTTTAACATTTGAGTTCTATTAAACATTTCACTGGGGAGGCTGGTGCTAACTTGATATCAAGTAAGCAGAGACACCTTATAAAAAAGTGATACATATCTTTATTATTAATTTTACTACCTTACTAACTTTATAGAGGTGAAGATGCTTAGCGTCTGTTTCGTTTCTCTACAAAATGGTTCACTGCTGTAATCTACTATGCAGCAGAATCTCAAAGTACCGCAATTCGTCAGCAGGAATACTCAATATTCTATAATTTCTGATGAAGAGCATATGTCCTCGTGAAATTATTCATCAGTATAATGTATAATAATAATTAACAGGTTTCGCAACTAGGGATTCATTTCACGAAAGCTTGAAACAAATTAAGCATAAAATGTGAAACATTATACTTTACTTGTTTGCATTTCACTGTTTTTGTAGTAGCACTGGGTTTCTTCTATATAATGTATTTTTAATACTGCTCTGAAAGAGGATTGTAGAATATGTTAGACAATAAACACTTTTATCATTAATATTCCAGTTACTATTATTACTTGTGAGTTTCATAACTGTTCATCCTCTAGTTTATTGAAAGTTCAAAATTCAAAAAAATATCATAAAAAAAATATTGTCAACTACATTCAAAACAATTGAGACCACCAAAAAAATCCAGGTTAGATGGTTGAATATTTCACTGAACAGTTAATATAATCTGTATCAATTCCATTCAAATCTTGTTTTACGATAACTAACAAATAACAAGATTATGGGATGATCAAAAACAAGTGTTTTGAACTGGACATAATATCTCAAGAAACTTTACCTTATTATCATTAAAGCAATTGGTATGTGTTAGTACAGGACATTATATATCCTAAAATAAATTGATTACAACAATGAGTTGTTCAGAATACAAAACAAACCATTGAATTTGTGAGTGACCATAAAAATCAGTGAACCACTGTAATCAAAATACATTTTAGGCAAACTAACTTTTTAAGGAATGATATATTTGCAGACTGACAATTACATTGTCACACCTGGCATTTATTATGTATAAGGAATATTATAGCTCATGAAAGTATAAAATTTATATTCTTTTACAAATCCCACAAATTTTTATTCACACGATTGAAAAATAAAAAAATTTAGAGGAAAAATATAATGCAATATGAAATCTATACATAAAACCATTACCGTTCTGAATTTTAAATTATCTGCAAAAACCTTCGAAATATTTGTTCCAAGTTGTGCAAACCATAGGACAAAAGACATCAATCTGATGGATGATTTGTGCCATAAGTATTGCAGAGAATAAAAATTTTGATGTTTGTTTGAAGGTGATTGACAATGTTTCATGATAAATTTCACTAGTTCGGACTTCCATTGTCTAATATGTACAATGATTTGAAATCCCCGAAACAACTGAAAAAGAAGAATTAAAAATAAATAGCAGAAAATAACAATTATTAGCTATTCATTTTTTAATTCTTTTTTTTCAGTTGTTTCGGGGATTTCAAATCATTGTACATATTGATATTATTCAAAGTTTCATAACTTTTATCATAGTGCAGAGCAAGACTTTGTGCAACAATCAGAGGAGAGCCGCCCTAATTCATCCCACAAATGATCAATTGGGTTCAATAGGCTATATTTTTGTATCCAATTGAGATAGAGACCTAATTGCACAAGTGCTGGTAAAATGCACAAGTTTTTTTTAAATGACATAAAAAACTCCCATCTTTTATTTAAGAAAATAAACCACACCAATGACATAAGATATACAAAATTAATACGGTTGCACTTCTGCCTCAAAAATAATATAATTAAAAATTTTTGTTGCAGCAGTTTTTTTTATTCTCATTGTATATTTGGCAACTGAAATGTTTCCAACATTTTCCTAATAAACCATGTAATCCTCGATGGTGAATAATATTTACATTTGATAGACTATTTAAAAAATTCCAAAACATACTAATTCTTGCTGCAACAACAATAAAACATGTGAGAACTGTTGGGAATTGTGATGACATCCAGGAACATTTCAGAAACTATCAAACCCACAAAATATTAAAATTCATAAATAAATGAAGACCCAAAAAGGGATTAAATTCTTGATGAGTTTTTTTTCAAATTCACCTCCATTGTTGGTTGAAACTGATTTTTGTTGTTTTAAATTAAAATAATATAAATAATACTTAGTTATATTTTCCATTATTACTTGTTATTATTACTGTTGTAGGAAAAAAGACATTACAAATTTAATGATCCTTTCTATGCATTTTTAATTAACAGTTTCAAAGCAATTCTATAAAATATACAATAGAGACATTTCAAATAAATTATACTGGGTGACAAAGAAATCATTGTACAAGGCGCCATTCAGTTGAATATGAGGTACCTAAGAAATTTGAAATAGGTATAGTTCATAGAAGCCAATACTTTTAATGAAAATTCATACAGGGTTAAACGGAAATGAACCCGAGACAAGAATTTTTAATAGAACCCTGAATATATTTGTTTGACATTTGATCAGACATAAACTTCTCTTTTCGTTCAAAATGGCGACTATATTCAATATGGCGGCACAATGAAGTCATCTATAAAAATATTGTCAAACACCTCCATGTAGGGAGAAACAAACAACAGAGTTTGCTCAGATTTCTAATAAAATTCAAAAATTAAAATTTAGTTTAATTAAAAATAAACCCAAGTCAAGAATTTTTAATATATTTTTTCAAACATGGAATATTAAGTTACCATTTCCTTTCAAAGTGACAAAAGAAAAATTTTGGAATCGAACATTTTCACCAATTCACATATTTTTCATCAATTTTTTGTAAATGCAATTTTTTACTTCATCCCGAAAATCTCAATAAGAAGTCTTATTTCTCAACTACAAGAGGTACACTATCAAGTACAAGAGGTACACTTTGATGTTACAGTTTAAAAAATAACACTTTCTATTAAGATCTTTAAGACAAGTGATGTATAAAATGGCATTCAAAAAACATTAATGAAAAGTAAGTGAAATTGGTGAAAAATTTCTATTCTGAAACATCAAGTTGTTTAGCAATATTGCCATAGATGACGTCGAAGTGCTGCCACATTGAATTATAATCTATCATATGATCTGAAAAAATATGCAACGTTCTATTTAAAATTTTTGATTTGAGTTCATTTTTCATTTCTTGTTGAACTGAAATTGATTTTCAGTTGTTTTTTCATCAAAAATATCTGCTCCAATGAGTAGATGTTTCTTTGTTCCAAATTTCTCAGCCCAGAAACAACTGAATAGCTCCATAACGATTTCATTGTTTCCTGGCATATATGTAATTTAGACCATTCGAGTTGTTTTATTATTTTTTTTATTTCTTACTAGAAACTCTGTAAAAATTAAAGAAATTATTTTAGAATATTATACCTGTTTCGATTTGTTTCAAAATTAATGAAATGAACTTTCAGATAACCCTTAAGTAATTAATAAATTAATTCTATATGATCCTGATAACAACAATTATCTTCATGGATTATTAATATATACATACATATTCATGGTGAAATATATGAAATTTGAAATTATACAAAAAAACTATGATAGATTTTATTTTGATTATGTGTGGTTGAAAATAAATCTTTAATAAATGGCATGAAACATGTCCTCTAAACTCCATAATTTCAACAATTTCCAAGTGCAACTCAATAAATGATTTAAAAGTTCTTCTTACCTGTAATTTCTTCTTGCACATACTAATAGTATCAGTTGAATAAACTGAAAGTTTCACATCTGAACATGAATGTGACAGTCTCAATTTCAAAACAGTCTCGGTTCCTCCATCTACTGGCTCCGAACACTCAGCTGGTGAGTCCCTACCATTATCTTCCCTCACAATATTGATAGGATAAGAAAGGCAGTAGATAGGAACCTGATATCGCGCACCTAACTCATCATAGCACTCTGTAAGGTAGCCGTTTGGTACCGAAATATTTGCACCATCTAATATTGCCTGTGCTAATTCATAATCCATCGATTCAGCTGCCACAGCAGCGGCTCTGAGGGCATCCCATATTTCTCTCTGGCCCTCAAAAGCTGGAGCTGTATCCCAAAATTCGTCTCGTTTACTTCGAAGTTGTCCTTCTGTCAAGGGTACGTCAGACTTCCACCTGATGGTCTCATGGCATAAAGGGTGATTTTTCCTTTGACTTCCTAAAATAGGCAACTTTTAAACTTTGTTGAGGCATTAAAGGTTATTAAATTGAGTACCTGAGTTGGGTCTACTGACTGATCCTGAGAAATCGTCTATAGCACCACTTCTACTTCTCGTTATTCCAATACAACCTCCCATGGCGATACAAACTCATTAAAAGTCATTTCACAAAATATTAAAAATTGAATATTTTTCACAACTATCACATCCATTTTCCACCCATAGTTCAATTCACAAATGATAAAAAATTACAATGACCCGATATTTGACGTAAATGAATGTGACAGATGACATACAATTTAAGCCATATTTTCTTGCTAGGATATTTTCGAAATTTTTTAATCGTGCTTTCGAATATAACGTCATCGGACATGATTGCTCTTGAAAATATGTCCACAGAATAGTTTACTATTTTGTTGTATGTCGTAACAAATGACCACACAACCTATTTAATGATTCATTTACAAGTAATATTCAAAGAAAAAATGTGAAATGGATCAATTATTATTGCCCTTGTCGTTGTGAAAGTAGACGTATACACCAATTATCATATAGATATAATAATAGTATTACTTAATATGTTTGCCCGACAAAACTAAATTTAATTGTGATTTAATTGATAGATACTTGATGAAAATTCATGATTTATTCAAGTAACACTTCATTGTGAGATTTCCACCAGACGATTTACAAAACCCCAACACATGTGTCTATAAAATAACTTTATTAAGCATTTTCATACTAAGTTAGTTAATTAGTAGTATCTTAGTCAATTAATTAGTAGTAGTGAATATGAAAACGCCTGATAAAGCAATTGTATAACGAAACAAGAGTTGCGTTTTTGTAATCTGTCTAGTGAAAATCTCACAATGAAGTGTTAATTGAATAATGACAACACTTCCTTCAAAGCCGTGCCCAGTGGGGGGGGGCGGCTTTGTAGCAAAAGCTACATTATATTTTGAGACTTCATTATTCTTTATGATTTACCAGTTCTGTAGAGGAAACCGTGGGAGATCGACCTTCACCCATCAGATAACTTGAACATATTTTTATCAAATATCATTTATTAACAAACATGTCTGTGATAACTTGCCTATCGAAAAATATTCATAGCTATTTTCAATTGAATTAATTTTGATAATTTTTTTACTTCCTTCACTCTTTTCATAATCGAATCAATTTCATCTCAATTGATAGTTTTCAACAAATAGAATATGCCTAGGTAGACTTGCCTACTTATTTCTGTGCATGGCTACCTGGCGAGGACATCATTTGTGCGTATGAGTACCTATATAAGCAAGCACAATTACATATTTTTATTTTTGTTTTTTGTATAATTTCGACTTTAAAGTGAAAACTCTCGACTATAAATTCGTTATCATATAAAATTCAAGATTAATAATCATGTTATTTTTGCGAGCTTAAGTGTCAGCGAAAAGTGTCTAAACAGTGTTAATTTTCGATTACTTACAATATTCTGTGCGCTCAAAATTGAGAAAAGTGAGCAATATTTTTACGTACCTTTAGCAATTGGTAGCTGTTAGAAAAATCTAGCAAATATGCATACGTTCACAGGACATACTAAAACTACTATATCCCATATAATTTGATAAAATTTGAGATAGGCTGCTTTCTACAATTTTGCAAAAAGTTTTCGGTGCCCCCACGTATTTTGACGTGTAGATTACCAATCTGAAAATAAATATCGGCGCTCTTTCTTATTTTAGAGTTACCCCGGTAACTACAATAAAAGTTAATAAAAACGCAAGTATTTATTCACCATGTCACATCTCATTTCACCTTTGACACTTTTTAGCTCAATAATCAACATTTTTCCTAAAAAAAATTGATTCAACTATGGATTCGTTTTCTGGTGATATTCCTCCATTTTAAGGTTATGTACTAGAGATATTTCGGAAAAAGCGGTTGCGTGATGACCGTAGTTTTGTCGTATTTTGGCAAATAAAAGGATTCATATTCTGATAATTGGCAAATATAGGCTTTTTAATATACTTTATCGAATGAAAGAATAGCGTTTTTCCAACCCTTTCGGTTGGTACCAACTTCCTGAATACCTGGCATAATTCTAATGTGAGTTTATGTAATTCGCCCTATACCAAAAATGAACCGTTGTCGGGATATTCATTTGTTCATTCAAAACAACTAGGTATTCGGCCATGAAATTCAAAAGTTTGATAGATTATTATTGATTCATAGAAATACTTCATTCCATCGTCTTTTAGGAGTAACATTTCAAAAACGTTATAGGTGTTCGGAATCGATGACTAATTCTGAAGATATAAAAATGTGCCAAAACTCGTTTTTTTAAAGAACAGTAATCTGTATTTTTGGATAGTTTTGAAATCCCGAGATGAATTTGACTCATTTTCATGAAACATTTCTTATATTAACAATCAACCGTTCACGAGATATTTGAGTTTTTCTTGAGAAAATGAAACATCCGCATGTCCACCATAAAACTACGGGCTACAAAACCTTCATTTCGAACAGTTTGAGAATGTTTATTGGAGTTATTAATTTGACGTAATTTGTGTATTCTGAATGTTTCACGAAAGAGCGAAAATTGGAAAATATTGCATTGTCTCTTCACAAAAAACTTACATGCATTTATTAACTCTTTTCATCAAATTTTTATTTATAGTACGACTGATTTCAACGGCATCTATGGCGTTGAAAGCTTGTAAAACGTTTCTAAATATATTCTCCTCACTTGTTGAAGGATCTGCATATACAATATTTTTAATATGTCCCTATAGTTAATAGTCCATAAGAGACAGATTGGGGGAACGTGCTGGCCAAGTACGGCCCACTATTGGCAATCCACCTATCGTAAAATAATTGATCGATACGCCTACGGTCCTGCAATTATGAGGCGGTGCTCCATCGTGTTGGTACGAAATATTTTCCGCATCTTCAACTGCTATATTATTCACTGCAACTCTCACAAAATTTTGTATTGTTACAGTATCCTTCACCATTCAATTTTTCATCATAGATGTACAAACACAGAATCCTATTGTGCTTTATTGCACAAAAAAGCTTAAAACTCCAAGTTTTTTGGAAATATCGGTCACGAGTAAGGTGTGGATTTTCATTAGCCCAAAAATGAGTATTATTTATGTTTGAATAATTCATTTTTGGTAAATGTAGCTTCATCACTCAATATAATTTTTAAAGAAAACATGGACGGTACAAATCCGTGTCTTCCAGACGATGTACCTACCAGTTGATGTTTGAACGGTTCCCATTTATGCTTTTTCAAATTGTGGTGAGCGGTTCTGGGTTCAACTGGTAGGTTTTTGTCACAATCTTTCAAATACACATTTGGATGAGCAGCAAAATATCCAAGAACATCTATTTCCAGATCTTCAATCTCCATCTGAGGCTTTCGCTTGATTATTTTTGGAAGCAATGATCTATGGTGCAAACAATTTTTCAACAGTCTTTTTACCGTATTGTGATTCGGGTTGAGTTTTTCCGGATAACTTTCGGTGAATAACCTGCATGCCCGGTCGATAATTCGATTACAATCACCATTTTGATCATAATCATATATTGTGTAAAAGTTATCATGCAGTGCCACACCTATAACGAACATCAAGAGTGCACGTAGGTACTTTGTAATGTCAAACTAATTGAGATTTAAGAAACTTTTTTACTTAAAACCGTGTATATATATATATTATTTTAACAATTTGCTGGAGGATAATTTGCAAAATTAATCAATCATTTTGGTAAGTATAAATTTGTTTGTCTGGAATTGGAATTAGAAGGATATAGGTAGTAGGATATAGGTATAATTTTGAATGAGGTAGAAAGCGAAAATTGTGCTAAAAATAAAGTATCAAATTGTTTATAGATCAATTTCTGTGGAAGAAGTTATTTTTTCATAAACTGAAACAGCAGTTTCAGTTTATGCAGTTTCAGCACATTAGATGTTATCAAATGTGTCATCTTGTTCGTGCGGAGCAAACATTTCAAAGAAGAAAGGACCATTAACTGCCGTTACATATTAATTTACGTGTATTAAAGTGATAACGATTGTTGAATAAATTGTAGTTAAGTTTCTGAACTTGTGAATTTCGCCAAGTTTTTTTGGGAAAATACTTTCAGTATCGCATAATACTCTCAATTTTCCTTATTCAGTGTAACCGAAGTACAATAATATCAATTATTCTTATCTGGAATTGTTGCGATTTGTCAACTAGTTCATATTTGTTAATGCACTGTTTGGAACATTTGGAACATTATTACTGGAGTTTTTTCCCAACACCAAACCGTTATTTTAACATCTCGACACGTTATTTAGATCACCAAGTGATCATCTTCAAGAGAAATATCAAACAAACAGTTTAGTTTAGTTCAACTCCACGACACGTGTTTCGATCACCAAGTGATCATTTTCAAGAGGAAGATCCAACAAACAGTTTAGTTTGATCTTCTTCTTGAAGATGATCACTTGGTAATCGAAGCACGTGTCGAGGTGTTAAAATAACGGTTTGGTGTTGGGAAAAAACTCCAGTAATATTCAACAACTAATTTATATGTATTATGATACAGTCGAGGCTACAAGTTTTATATATTCCTATAACTGGATGAAATGCAAAGTCTAATACGGAGGTATGTTGGTTGGTGTTTTATCTATTTTCAATAATTTCAATGAACTTTCTGCCAATTTTCAGAATTGCAGCTAACTTATCGATTTACAGAACTAGTTATCAGGCAATCCAAAATATAAACGATAGCAGACATGAAAAAAAATATCATAGACATTATAGCCATCACTTTAACACTAAGAATATTACTTATACTGCTGTGGGTACTTGCTTAGGTTACTGTCTCTACAAAGGTAGTACAGTGTAACTGAAATGTCACCATATGATAGGTATTATTAAATCATTTTTCCAGAAAAAAAAGGAAAAGATGCTGAAGGATCCAAAGGAGAAGATACTGAAGAACCCAACAAAAATGAAATTGTAGCAGGAAAGTTCACAGAAAAGTTGCCTTTTTATTCTGTTGAAGAAATCAGTAGACATACCACAATGTAAGCTACCATTACTTTAAATTCAATGTTTTCTTCTGAATTTTTAGGAAAAATGGGGTATGGGTGATATATAAAGAAGGTGTTTACGACATAACAGATTTTATAATAGAGCATCCAGGGGGAGACCAGATCTTCATGGCAGCCGGTAGTTCAATTGAACCATTTTTTTTTCTCCATAGATTTCACGAGAGTCCCCATGTATACGAAATTTTAGAAAAATATAGAATAGGTAATATTCTTTCAACTAATAATAAGACAAAATAATGAAAAAATTAATGGAAGTAAATTCTTATATTCAGGTAATTTACAAGGAGGAAATATGCACATAACAGATGATTTGGTTGATCCGTATGACAGTGACCCAAGAAGACATCCTGATTTAAAACCCTTAAGTTTGAGGCCATTTAATGGAAACTGTGAACCATCTGAGTTAGTCGAGCAGTTCATCACACCTAAGTAAAAAAATATCATTTTCATATTATAGAAAATATCTCACCCCCTTCTCATTAAAGTAATACTTTGATATTTAAATTCTTTTGTTTTTGTAATGTTTCGAATCTCAATTCTTTTTATATATTCCATAGTGAACTGTTTTATGTGAGAAATCATCTACCAGTTCCTCTAGTAACAGATCCATGTAATTATGAAATAGAAGTTGTATTGGAAGGTAAAGATGAAACTCTCACCTTCACATTGGACGAGTTGAAAAAACTTCCAAAACATACTATAGTTGCAGGGATGATGTGTTCTGGCAATCGAAGAACAGAAATGTCAAAGGTTTGTTATTATACATTTTGATCCTTCAAATGACAAGAATGTTCTCCGAAATGTAGAAATTAAAACTGCAAAACATAGTAGAGCCCAATGTTTGTGAGATTAAACATGAAATTGTGAGACTTGGATTTATAACTCGCGCATGAATCCAGCTCGAACTATTCACTTAGTATCATTTCATTTATTATTTCTAGGTTAAGCGTGTGCTAGGGTTGATGTGGGGTATAGGAGGTATGAGTAACGCAACATGGACAGGTGTCCCTTTACGGCAAGTTCTAAATCTGGCCAAACTAGACGAAAACGACACTAAATACAAACACATTCAGGTTTCTTAAAAGTTTTTGAAAGGTTCAAGAATGACTATTCAATGTTTCAGTTCGAGGGAATAGATGCTGATGTTACCGGAAAACCATACTCGGCTTCAATTCCTATCTGGAAAGGAACTGATAAAAGGGGAGACGTTTTGTTAGCATATGAGATGAATGGTGAACCACTTCCGAGGGATCACGGATATCCTTTAAGGGTTTTGGTACCAGGAGTTGCGGGTGCAAGAAGTGTTAAGTGGTTAAGTAAATACCTATCCAAAATAATCGGTTTATTCCATTTTATCATATTATTTGTTACTTTTAGCTAAAATAATTGTATCAGAAAACGAAAGTGATTCACATTATCAATTGAAAGATTATAAAGGATATTCACCTTCTACTTACTACAATAACGTAGATTACACAAAATCTCCAGCCATCCAAGAACTCCCTGTCACATCAGCCATTTGTAAACCAAGTGAAAATGATACCGTACAGGTTAATAATGGAACAATCCCTGTGAAAGGTAGATCGGCTAAAAAAATATACATCTAATCATAATTATTTAAAAAAAAATGTTTAAAAGCAGTATTTTGAATTTTTAAAGAAACCAAGCCCAAAATAGTAGTAGTACACCCTCCAAATGTGAAAATAACTTTAGAAATCGATTTCAAATTATTAAGTTCAGCCAGATCTGTCTATTGAACTATCAGAATTAAATCTACCGGTGAAACAAAAACAAAGTCCTGCTAGTTGTCTATCACAAATTGTAGCTCGTCGAAGCTCACTAGTACATATGTGTCTTGGACCGAACCTCATACCTTTAGTCTTTAATGAAAGAGTGTTTTTTCTGTGGGTGGCTGTAGTAGGGTCGTTATGTATTTGGCGAGCTCATAAGTTGGTGAACTTACCACATTCACGATAGGTAATGTGCTACCTTGTACACGATGCCGGTAATTAGCGCTAGCAAGTGTTTCCAAAAAACATAAATGCCTTGTTCGCACACTGTTTATCATCAAAGTATCTTCAGTGGGACTGATTTTTCTATGAACAAACGGATAGTATCGCAACAGGCAACCCGTCAAGTCCAGTGGTGACAATTTTTTTCATGGAAAGATTCGGTCAATGGGTATTAGCCTTAGAGCAAGCAGTCTTGTAACTATATGGTTGACTACGATACGTTGACTTAAAAATCAATTTTCTCTGGAAAAGGTGACCCAATGAACTATTGTGTTTCATATACTAGTGAACAGACAGGAACATAGGACGTTGGGTAATAGAGTATACAGGTAACCGACGCCCACATACAGATATCTGAATTGAGAGGGGCCGTCGCATTTATTACCAAAAAATACCTTCAATAGAAATAATCGGTATAGCGAATTCGAATTTGAGTTGTGGAGTTGGAAGAGAAAATGTCTTGGTCGAGAAAGACTACATCACGCTCTTTAGCTTGTATGAACCTGAGGGTGGAGGATGAATAGTTCCAATAAATTCTGCACTTCTCGTTCCCCACAACGGATTCAATTTCCCCCGGAGCGTGAGACAACACTGGTGTCTCGTCAATAACTTAAAAAAAGTGAGTGGTGATAAAGCACTCTTAGGGTCGCTGGACATGCTGATAGCAAGTGCTTTAGGATCTCAGGAGCCTCGCGGTAGGCTCTCTACCTTGTGTTACAGGGCCTGCCACTTGTGTTAAACGTTGTGTTGCTTGTGTTGCACGTTGAACCATTACGATAAGAGACATCAAATCGGAACCCTGAGGTACATCATAGTACTCTAGTTTTGTTCATTACTGAATTATATATTCTGTTTAATATGAATTGAACTCTTTAGGTTATGCGTATTCGGGAGGTGGACAAAAGATAGTGAGAGTTGACGTCACTGCAGATGGTGGAAAATCTTGGCACGTGGCGGACTTGGGTCATCAAGACACTGCTCTACCACCTCAACACTGGGCCTGGACAATTTGGTCAGTCAGTATTCCAGTAAAAAAAGATCAAAAAAAGGTGAGAATCTTAAGTATATAAACAATACAATTGTTAGCTAAAATGGCTAAAGCTACTGGGTGTGATCGATCAGTATAATTCCGAAACAAATAGTTACAAATCATGAGAATCGCGAACGACAATACTTCAAAACAATATCACCATTCCTATTCCAATAATTTTTGCTAACGATCGTTCATGCTTATTCGAATATTGGCATTTTTGTTGCGAATCACAAATCGGAAAATAAACGGCCAATTTTCATGCGAAAAGTTTATCTGCTGTCAGCTGTCATTTTCGTCATTTAATTAAAAAATCATTTTTTTTTGTATTTTTATTTATGATTTGCAGTAGAGCCTAAAAAATAACAGGAATAATGATTCAGCATGATACACAAGCAAGATACACAAAAATTGTTGCAAAATGGAAATAACTGCTACCATGCACCACATTAAATGAAGACCATTCATTATTTTGATTATCCATAATTATAATTGTTAAAATCATATATTCTCATCTCCTTGGTGGAGTTGTGATAGTAATCTTCGATTTCTAGAAATTTTACGAACACTAAACTTACCTTTTATGGAAACTTTCGGTAAAATTTTGAACAGTCTGCACCGTCCAAGTTCGAAAAAAAAATTTTGGTTTACATATGTATTTTGATGTGAAGATTACAAATCCTAAAGAAAAAATACGTGTTTTCCATTATTTTCAGAGTTACAGCCCTCAGTTTCCGACTTCAGCCCACTCGACCTAAGGAAAGCGAAGGTCAGATGCTTTGATGAGCCGAGGTCTTTAATGTTATTAAAAAGAAGACCCCATTCATTGGCTTATCCTTGTGTTGCTGCAAGAGTGAAGTGACCTCTGCGGTTTTTATGTGGACCTATTGCTGAACAGGTTCCAACTCGGTGACAAAGTTGTGATCATCTCGTCCAGTCTCGAAAACTATTTAGGGCAGTTGCCCTGAAGAGAAATGCTCAAATTTTTGTCCATTCATTATCACCGACCATGTGGAGAAGGAGATTCGAACTCCTGATGACTTTACAGGCTCAAGTCCACAGCCTCCCTGTTGTCGGGGGAAGTACAAACTTGGAACGGACGATTAGGGATGGAAACTACTATGAAGATGCACCATTTTTCGGGTCATTACGTCAAATTGATACACCTCATTCCGAATCCACTTCGCTACTCCAAACGAGTAGAGTAAAATTGGAACGGCAAGAATATTCGTAGCAACAACTTTGTTCTTCCCAGACAGGTCCGATGACCAGATATGTCGGAGTTTGTGCAGGATACTTCCATTAACGAGCTGCACATCTTCTCCGTAATCTCCGCATTGTCCTCTTTCAAGGTGGACCTTTGCACATTTATCTATACCTAATACCATACCGATAGTTTGCGTGTACCTACTCTTCCGGCACCTTGAAGAACTGATGGAAATCCATTTCTCCAGAAACATACAGTTTAAAATCATTCATAAAAAACAAATGGGTGACCTTATGCCTCCGTTTGGACTCTAGCCTGACCAGACGTTATGGTGAAGCGAGTCCGCCAGTTGTTGGAGGCACCTCACTATTTTGTCGGATACGGCAAGGCATCTGAGCAAATGCAAGATGAGCTCATGCGATGTTGTATCAAATGCTTTGCTGTAATCGATCCAGAGAGATTACGCTTGCAGGACTTGACACAGTATAAAAGCGCTTTAATTTGATTAGGTTATAAGAATAAATGAGTCTCTTGATACTCAGTGGTTCGTGAATTTGATAAAATCATAATAAGAATCCCCATAATAAATCAAATGGCAGTAGTATCAGAAAAAATCGTCATATAACTGCCGAATGGGTGGAGATCAATAATAGGGGCAGTATTCGCGTATATAGGGTGGTTGTTATGTACAGAGCTATATAGCCTCTCCCCAGCCAGTTAACGAAGAGGTGGAAGTAGCAGTATTACCACATGTTGGCGCGTTGCCGCAGTGCGGCACATAGCCGCCAAATTACGACGTGATTACGACCTATAGCTTAAGAAACGTCACCGCGTCACCGCATAGGGAAAACAATCACGACAGGCGTGGCGTGTAATCTTAGCTTTAATATCGCTAAGTATTAGTATCCCTCAAGACTAAGATGCAATACCAAACATCGTCTGTCGCAAGGTGGAACCGCCCGCCCCCTCTTGGAGGCGCCCCAAACTTGATTCAAGTATCCATAGCCTTTCTCTATGAAAGGCAGGACGGGCGAAGTTAGGAGAATCCCCTTGAGCTTATTTCTCAGTTGGTAGGTTGAGTATATATAGGTACTTGTACGCAAATTGTAATTATGTTGTTAACAGTTCTTCTGAGGTATGTCTAGGAATAATTAAAGATATATAAACTTTGTTAGTGTGATTATATAATAGAGCCTCGTTAATCCGGACCTCTGTTACTTCGGTGCACACTGTAATCCGAACAGGCGAGATGATCGCGTGGGGGAACGTTCACGGGGAAAGCGGTAGGTGCGTGTCACAACGTGTCACTATTCAACCATATGCCGTCACTATAGTCAGTCTTTTGTTTACTTCTGTGCAGTGTTAGTTAATTTAACGCGCATTCGCTGACAAAATGCACCGCTGCGCAAACATTCTACATTGTCAGTAAAAGACAAATTGGGTATTATAAAGGGGTCTTCCAACAGGGACTTCCGAACTTTGACAATTGATAACGGCCATCTTGTTGAAGCTACATCTGTCAAATTAGTTGTTTGACAACTGTCTGTTTGACAAATTACCATGGACGATTATAGCGTTCAACAACACGTGCAAAATAGTTTTATCGAAATGCGTGTTCTTTTCGGGCAAGGTACTGGGCGCTTCGCCCATTTTAAGGTTGCCATAATCGTCCTACCGAGAGGACTGTTCACAATGTGGTGGATGAATTTGAGTTCACTGGTTCAGTAAACCATCGACCAACACCCGTAAGTCGACGAAACGCAAGATCTGCCAAAATCATCGCCGCTTCTTTGAGATTGTGCAGGAGAACCCGAGGCAGTCGATTCCACGTCGCTCACAAAAACTCGACATTTCGCAAACTACAACCTGACGAATTTTGCGTCGTAACTTGGGCCTGCACCCGTATAAAATTCAACTGAAGGTAAACGACCATAGACAAAGACGTGTGTTCGCAGAATAGGCATTGGAGCAGTTGGCAACTGACCATAATTTTCATCGAAAAATCATCTTCCTGAGGCTCATTTCTGGATGAATGGTTACGTGAACAAACAAAATTGTCGAATTTGGGACGATACCAATCCATATGAGATCCAAAAGCGACCAATATACCCCGAAAAAGTCACTGTTTGGTGTGGATTTTGGGCTGGAGGCGTCATCGGTCCATATTTCTTTGAGAACGATATAGGTTGATGATTACCAACTTGTTCTGTCCTTAATTGGATGATCTGGACACCAACATGGGGTTTCAACAGGACGGCGCTACGTGTCACACAGCTCATACTACATTGAATATTCTGGCAAGAGCGATTTGAGGGCACGGTCATTTCACGTGGAGGGGTAATGTGAACTGGCCATCGAGATCGTGCGACTTGACCCCGTTAGACTTTTTCTTATGTGGTTTTCTAAAGTCGCAGGTGTATGGAAATGAACCAGAAACCGCAGCGATCATCAAAACCAACATAACCTGCTATGCATGTATGAATTCCTTTGTGAGTAGGTACCTTTGTACGTACATACATATTCTTGTCTAAAGTGACTTTACTTCCATAAATGAAACTCAAGTTGGAAATGTTTTATTTTCTATAAAAATTTTTGCATACATAACCTGCTATGCATGTATGAATTTCTTTGTGAGTAGGTACCTTTGTACGTACATACATATTCTTGTCTGAAGTGACTTTACTTCCATAAATGAAACTCAAGTTGGAAATGTTTTATTTTCTATTGAATTTTTGCATACTATAATCCGTACGCCTCGATAATTCGCAAGGGATCTTGTTTTTCTCCACCCGGATTAGAGAGGCCCTACTGTAATCAAATGTATCATCTGTCAGTGCAAAACAGAAGTGCAAAGGAATGGGGAATGTTCCTCCTGACGAAAATCCAGTAGTTTTCATAAAAAGAGCTCTAAAACAACGCATTTTAAACTTACCATTTCAACCTTTATCTTTAAAAAATTATTTAAATACTTGAAAAAGAGGAATGAAATAATGCATTCAACATAAGGGATTCGTTTCTATTTCACCATTTGACAACATCGGTTATAGCTAATAAAGGACAATGAATCTGTTACCTGTATGAGACAAACAAAGATATGACATATTTCAGAGGCGTGGTGTTCTGTTTACTTATGTTCCAAGTTCCGAGACATTCTGTTATATATGACATTTTGTGCACCTAACCTATCTTCCTATATATAAATAAATAACAAAACAACTGATTCTGGATTATGCCGTAGGGCGGCTGAACAGGTGAAATCCTTCTAGATTTATGAACACCCGTAGCCACTCAACTCAGGCACTGCAGTCTTAGTACAGTTTGAGTTTTCAACAAAGATCTTCGATATCCTGAGCTCAATGAACTGCACAACCCGATAATACCGGCTGGCGTTCGAAGAACCTTTGTAGATTCCAAGAACTTTGCTGCTCCAGACTCAGATGGGCTGAACACTTATTGGTGGAAAAAACTTTCAAGCACTCGCCATCATCTGGCCAAAATTTTTAACTCATGGTTGGACGGAAAGCGGCGGATTTCGGATTGGTTTGTCGAGAGGGGGCCGATCTTATCATAAAAAACGGACATTTGTCGATTCCATAGAATTACGGACCGTTAAAAGCTTAAATTGGTGTTTAAGCTGTTTACGAGCATCTTATACAGGGGAATACTTACCGCAGTCGACTGAGTATTTGAACGGATATATGACCAGAGAATGTCGCTGGATGTAAAGAGAACCTGCTCGTTGATAGATGTGTTATACTCAATATTGAAAATATGAATTTTATAAAAGGAAACATATGCAATTTCTTTTCACCCAAAATATATTCGAATCAGAATTTCTTGTACCTTGTAATGAAACTGAACAATAAACCGTAAGTTGTCTTCATCTCTTAAAGAGGCCAACTTGATTCGTAAAATGAGCGTCGAGAAGAGTACTGCATTTCTGGTGATTGGGAAAAGTGCTTGTTAAAAAAAAACGTGGATTTATTGGCCAAGATGACTGGACTATCAATTCGAAATGAAGGTCAAAAAACGTGAAAATATATGAGCTGAGAAAATAATTTTAGTTTTGGAAGGATTGAGAACAATTTCTGTGCATTTAGTAACTTAAATATTTTTTTAGGTTGAAATTTGGGTAAAAGCAGTTGATTCGTCATACAATACACAGGCTGAGAGTTTTGAAAACATTTATAATTTTAGAGGAGTTTTGAATAATGCTTATAACCGAGTCACTGTTAATCTGAAACATTAGGATAAGAAATAATACGAGGATACAAAATTGTAAGTTCTGAATAGAATGGATTTCAATTTCAATGTTGTAGTTTTCTAGGTTTTGGTATTACAAATATATTCAAAGAAATCTTTAATGAAAGTCGTGTGATAATAATTAACATTTATTAAATATATATAGTAAACCATAGAATGAATATTCAATTAGTTTTCTTATCCTTTCAGAGTATTCATTTAAATGTAATGAGTAGGTATAATAAAAATATGTTCGTAGATATGTATCCTTTATGTGTGAAGCTTTCTTAACTTTTACGGACCATTTGTGAACGATTATGAAAATAACTCTCACTGAACTTCAGACTATTGCTCAAATGTCTATCGCCTTCTTGGCTCACTTCGCACTGCACTTTCAACTAGACTGCCTTCCCCTAAGTGTTGATAATGATTATATACGAGTATATCGATGGGAGTCTTCGGAAACCGGTGGAATAAGCCTCGAAACGACGCGGCATTCAGAAGGATCGAGAGACACAAGTGGGGATAAGCCCGATCTTGAACAAATCGCAGTCGATTGGTAAGACCAGCGGCGGCAGGTATTTTTTCAGGGGATACTTCACAACACAGCCTACTTTCCTGAGGTTGTTCGCTTCGAACAACATTCCAAGCAGGAACATCACGATCTATGTAAGAACTCAGTCGCTCTTCATGGCGACCCTAGACTTGCTTCTGGATGACAATTGGATTCTGTACACCAGATCGTTCATTTTTTTGTTCACTAAGTAAGGTCTTCTCCATGATCTCTGCACTTTGGCACACACTTTCCGCCGTTGCGGATGGTAGACCGATTTATCCCAGGCTCATTGATTTTCGGAGACAAACATCGACAGGTAGTTGTTTATAGTGCGGTTCTTCTTCATTCCCAAGAAGTCATATTTTCCTTCCATACATCTGCTTCGAAGTTGCGGCCCTGATACAAGTACAACTCCTGGAGTACTCCGTGCCTAGCAATTACGTTCCCTTCCTCGAAGAGCCCAGGTCTTAGCACTAGCAACATTCCTCCTTGTCTCGGCGGAAATGAACCCAATAGTACCTCTCACGCACTCTCGCTAGAATTCTGTTTACTCCGAAATGTCCTTCAGTTCGACCATCGTGGAACTGTTTGAGTACATTCGAGATACCTACACGCTCTTCTCGCATATCAGTTCAACTGTACTCTTCGAAAAATATTGTGGAAAATTAGATTTTTTGGAATGAACATGGAATTATGAAAGTGTCATAGAGCCAATTAATGAATATCGAAAGGCATCAAAATTTTGTTTAATACTATATAACTGAAGAGGTGTCCATTTAATTTTCTGAAAGGTATATATTCGAAAGCTGAGTGATAATTTGTTCATTAGTTTCCTCCTATTCATCAAGCTTTGGGAACATATCACGAACATCATTATATGTTTTAAGAACGAAACATTCTAACGGAAGCGTAAAATGTTGTTTTCGCTCCTAGGTCAAGATCTGTACACTTATATTTCATTCACGGACCCGGATTCTAACAAACTTTCCATGTTTGGTTTCAGTTATTGTAGGCAAATTTTAAATATTTCGGTTCAGTTTCGGTTTCTAAACCAACCATAAGCCTTTTATACATCTTATCCTAGTAATAGATATGGAAATCAATTATTAATAGGTGTAGAAAATTAGGCTAATATAATTTGCTACTTTATTCAAATAAAAGATGGATTCATGGAACTGAAATTAACTTCTGTTCTTAGCAATTTGAAAGGGTTGAATGGCAAGAAGTTATGGAAGTATTTACTCACCAACAGGTAGGCATAATATGTACATAGCAGTACTAGATAATATTCTGTAAGATAATGAAATTAACTACTATAAATGCCAATACACAATATGCATATAATACGAAATTATGCGGTTTCTCCTCATCAACTGCCCTTTCTTTTGGTATTGATTATCACTGTAGTTATGTCTGAAGTTAACATAGGTGTTTGCTCAACCAAAATAGCAAAAATTGAAAACAGTGAATAAAAATGGAAAAAAGTGAACTAGTCTAGATCCAAAAAAATTAGTTTTATTTTTATTAATTCAGGTATTACAGACAACTCAATCTTGGGATATTGAAGACGAACGAGGCTCCCCAAGGTAAACAGTTGCAAAGCCAATATTCGACGCCGACGAGATTTGTCCTGTCTTCCACTGCAACACAACTTAGCACAGTCGTGCTAAGATGTATATACCTAATTAAATATCTGTAACCATATTTACACGTTTTTTACATCAATCAAAAACCGGGAAAATCCATGAACAAAGCACTCCAAAAATATGCAAACCACAGACAAGTGTTTCTGGCTAATTATTTGTCATCATTTAACCAAGCATAAGATTGGGCTACATTTTTTTTTCTTCTACTTGAAAGCCACCAGACTTGACCATTTCTCCCAAGTCTCCGGAAAACACTGCAGCCTCATGAGCTTATTGCGTATTACTCCCAATCATTTTTATAAGATACATTCCAACAATCTTGTGCCCTGTACTAGTTTGTACAGGTCCCTTGTTAGATGTATATCATATTCTTTTGGACATAATTTGGGTTGTCCATAAATTGTCTGCTATTTGTTAGCCTCATTCGCATAAAATATGACGAGCTGTACCTATCCCTTTGTTGCAGCGCCTGCAGGTAAGGCCACCGTTGAACAGCTGTATTTTTTCAGGTGTTCTTCAAATGGACAGTGTCCAGTGAATAGCTCTGTAATTGTTTTGAGCCAATCGCTGCTTTGTTGAAGAAGTTTTTCATTTCTATTCTCGTACGGTCTCTTTATAAAGGTTTTCAAGCGTGTATCCCTGGTATATTTTTCAAGTACTCTTTATGTTTTTCATAGTCACTTTTCAATCTGGTCCTTATGAAAGACTTTGGTGCAACCACAGCTAGTTCGTGACCAATACTTGGAGTTGATGATCCGTGTCTGGCACACTTGGTTGCAGAGTCATCAACAGAAAAGAGTGGCATTTATGTGATTTTGATCAGATCGTCTCGGGTTGAAGGCATCACTTTAATCAACACTGGGGCAGCTTTAGCTACGGCGGCTTCTAACCCAAGGCGATTTAAACGAAACCACAAAGTGCGGCTGGCTTCTGTTGATGAATCCGTGCATTTGTGTTGTTTCCTGCAACCAAGTGTTGCCCAACCTTGCACTTGGCTATACTGAATTGATGGCAGATAATGAGCCAGAAATACGTCTGAGCGGTTTGCATATTTTCGGAGTGCTTTGTCCATGAATTTTGTCTTCAGCGTGTTTGCCAAAAATATTTTCAGTGGTAAATCTTTCTGTCAACATTGAATAATTGAAATGAACCGAACCTTGTATTCGTAAGAAATTTTTGTTGACTGGTAGGAACTGTCATAAATTGAATAAATATGATGAAAATGTCATTGAAAATATTTTTACTTGTATTACAGCTCCAGTGGTGAATGTAGGCGACGTACTTATACATATTATGAAGAACACAGCTTTTTCAATTGCTATATCTCAGATACTGTGACTCTTAAGAGAGAACGTGAGGAAACATTTTTTTTAGATAATCGGATAGTCCACAATTTTTGTGTAGACTATTTTTTATGATAATATACTGAAAAAAAAACCGTATTTGCAAATTTTGACCTTGAATCATTTTTTTGCACATGTATCGATGGGGATTTTTCTCATTTCATTTTTATTCCAAACATTCAAACCATGACATATTTACGTCAACAGGTGATGATGTCAAACGCCAATCGAAAATGCTCAAAATTTAAGATATTTATTTTATTCTCATACTTTAACAGTGAGGTTAGGTTGGAGGTAAATTTAAACTGCCATCCATAGCTGGATCCAAGTTTTTTCTGCATTTATTCTTTATGGCTGATTCATAGAACAAACTTTTATCTTTGTACTTTATTTGGTACTTTTACGAATTGTAACATTACCCATATTTTTTTGGATAACTTGCCGGGATATTAGCACCTACCAATATTCATTTTGATAGAGTGTATGATCGCTCCTATTGATTTAAATTGTGACAACTTTCTTAACGTAAAAGTACAAAGGTAAAAGTTTATTGTATGAATCAGCCATAAAAAATAAATGTGGAAAAAAACTTGGATCCATCCATGGATGGCAGTTTAAATTTCCCTCCCAACCTAACCTCACTGATAAAGTCTGACAATAAAATAAATATGTTAAATTTTGAGCATTCTCGATTGGCGTTTGACATCATCACCTGTTGACGTAAATATGTCATCAGTTTGTGAAACTGTTGTTTCTGAAAAAAAGACAATAATTTACAATATGTACAATATGCTTATTATAATCATCATAAAATAAATACACAATAAAAAAATAAATAACGTACATCATAAAAATCCGAAAAAAAAATCAGTTTACTTTTAGAAAAGATTGAAGAATACAATAAATACTTTATTTTTCAACATATAAGAGTGTTTATCTAATGAACCAAAAACACTATCGACACGCGTTTCGCGAATCATCGTCGTCATGTTAATTTGGTTAATGGTTAGCGAAAGCGCGTCGAAAGATACCGTTTTTGTTCTGGTTCGAGAAAAGACTTTTCATTAGAATAATTTTTCGCCAAAATCCAGAGGGCTTCTAATTCTACCTATCAAATAAGAATGTGATTGTAGTCCATAAATTCAATGAATAGAATTTGAATTTTCCTCCTGCTGTCTCTAGACAATCTCTGGACTCTAAAACTATTTTTTAAATAATCATCGCCGAAGTGAATTTAAGAAACATTTCCGTCCTGAAAATATTGCCTATACAGTCCTGTGCTCATATTTGGGTTACTCCTTCTTCATAGGTAAATATTGTGTCTGAGTCCTTAATGTTATATTTGAATTAGTTTTGTAGATGAAAAAAGAAATGCGGCATATACAAAAGCTGAAGAATATAAGGAAAATGCAACAATTCCAGGAAAATTCAGGGAGAACTTACCACTATACACTGCTGAGGAGATTGGTAAACATACCACCATGTATACCTTTTTTGCTCTTCATTTCACTGCTTAACTGTTGAATTTTTCAGGGATACCCGGATATGGGTCACATATAAAGAAGGAGTATATGATATAACAGAATTTATAGAAGGCCATCCAGGAGGAGATCAAATCCTCATGGCAGCGGGTAGTTCTGTAGAACCATTTTGGCTTCTTTATGGAATTCACAAAAATTCTCATGTTTATGATATTTTAGAAAAATATAGAATAGGTGATAATTTTTTCTTTAGAAATAGCAATCAGTAATAATTGTTTTATTTAGGTAATTTGAAAGAGGAAGATATGAAGCACCTAACAGCTGATATGTCTGATCCATATATCACTGATCCAAAAAGACATCCTGCTTTAAACCCTGCAAGCTTGAAGCCATTTAATGCAGAGTGTCCGCCAAGTTTACTAGTAGAGAGTTTCATAACACCTAAGTAAGAATACTAGTTTTTACACTTTCTGTTGGCTATCAGAAAAATATTACTACTCCAATATGAATTCTAAAAAAGCAATAATATTTCATGAGAAGATTTTGAAATAATATTTGACCCTGAAATGTTGAAATTTATGTTCCTTTCGTTTCAATACTTTTTAAATTTGAATGTTATTATATATTGGAAAAATATCCAATTTTATTTGGTATCTCATTTTTTCGCTACTAGGGAGCCGCCGGACTTGTCCTTTTGTTCCACTTCTCTGGAAAAACACTGCATTATCATGGGCTTATTGTGATTTTTCTCCAACGTTTTCATGACATCATTTCCAATAATTTGGTTCCACATACTAGTTTGTACAGGTCTTTTGTTGGATATCTGGCATATTCTTCCAAAAAGCTATTGCGGTTTGTAAACTGTGGAAATCTCACAATGAAGTGTTACTTAAATGCATTACTTGCCTCCTGATCAAAGTCATCTCTATCATTTGTTGAATTGCCTGCAGCTGAGGTTGTTCTACAGCCCAATTTTATTCTTGTATCCTCCAATTCGACAGTGTGCAGTGAGTAGCCCTGTAATTATTCTGAATCAATCTTTGGTTGAAGCAGTTCTTTTGTCAGGCAATCCTTTTATAAAGGATTTCCTATATGCGCTTCCAGAAATAGTTTTCCATTACTCTTTTTGTTTTCTATTGATCCATGTCCTGATATGACATATTTTGGTTACCTGACAAATGTTGATAACATATTGAGCTGTGTCTAGCACACTTTTCAGCTTTTTCGTTCATGATTTCTGAGTTTTCAAGCATTTCTTTAGTGATTCACTGCATTCTCAGATCGGTCTCTACATGACCCTCGAGTTCATTAATGCCATGGTTGTATGTAATAACAATCCTACATAGGATAGTTCCCACATTATTTTTAAAGAGAATTGATGTTTGACAATTCACATGATATTTCAGATTGCGATGTTTTGATTAGTCAGTCCTAGATTAGGCACATTGAGAGATATCATTTTCATGAAGTGGAACGTAGTGAGCATATCGAGATTAGGAAAAAAATAGAAAAACAAATATGCAAAATATTAACTATTTGACAATCCTGCACTTCAAGTGAGTGAAAAGTTCAACCAAACAAATTTAGAGCTGCTTTCACTAGTTTTCTTGAGGAAGCAACAGCAAGTTCAAGTTCCAAAATCTGAAATAATACTTAATTATATAAAACATGAAAATTTGCAATTATGACTGTGCTAGTAGGACATAACTGATCCTGAAGTAAAAATTGTAATCCGATTGTAAAAAGTTTTTTACAATCAAAAATAAATTTCTACGTTATTGAACCCTGGTCTGACAAATCGGCATGATCATTAGTGCCATTAAATTTAGCACAAATACTGGAAGTTTGAACATTGTTTTGTGAACTTACTTTGAAATAAAGTAAAAGAAATATTTGTACTATTATGAAGAGGACTTACTAAGATAAGTGTAATTGTTTTAATTGTTTCTCAGTGAACTATTTTATGTAAGGAATCACTTACCAGTACCTGATGTGGATCCAAGTACATATGAACTTGAAGTGGAAATAGAGGGTAGCAATAAAACTATAACCTTCACCTTGGATGAATTGAAAAAACTTCCGAAAAAGACCATAACTGCAACAGTTATGTGTGCCGGAAACAGGAGGACAGAAATGACAAAGGTTTGTTGATTTTCAACATAAATACAGAACTGACAATTAATAATTTTGTGAAATACTCTTAATATTAGAGATATATCAATTAAAAAGAGAGTTATTGCATTTTTCAATATTGATCTGCTCATTTAGTTAAGGTCTCAAGTTATTTCTCTTTGCACCCTACAAGATTCTGTTGAAAAAAAAATCTTTTTTTTACGTTAATCATCTGTCACCCCCTATGAATGACAACCCTCAAAAGTCAAAACTTATGAGAGCTAAGGATTAACGAGGTATTACCTTTTAATGTGCTCTTCCCAGCATTGCTTGATATTATTGAATATTTATTCATAAGTAAGACATATCTGACCTCCAGTTATGAATTAAATAACCCGAGTTAATTTTCATTTCATTTTAAACTTTGTATAATTAACAAGTTTTTTGTATCAATCTTTACTGTCTATAATTCTTTAAGAAATTGCTCAATATTCAAATTGATTTCTAAATACAGCCTTTATTAATTAGAATGTCAAAATTAAGTTCAGATAAAGTATACTTCAGAATATAAAATTGAGAAAGTTCATTTCGTTTCGAATGTTTGATAAGAATTTCATACTCATTTCACAAAGATTTGAAACAAAAATATGACTATGCTAGCTCAGAAACATTTTTTCAGATTTTTGGTGTGTACTCCACTCGGTATCTTTCATCGGTTATAAATTAATAGAACATTTTTTTAATTTCTTTATTACTCAATACTTTTCTGCAAATTGTTATACTATTGTCACGTCTTTGTGTTCTTGATATTAATTACTTGATCAATTTTGTTAGTTTGTTCCGGGTAACAATGTAGTATTTCATTAAAACCTGATACTAGTAGTTGTAAGTTTAGTTTATGCAATATTTGTTGTGTGAGATGAATACGTTTTTTTATTTCAATATTTTTCAATCCTACCATACTCGTACATGATGAAAATAACCATATTTATTTCAAGGTTAAGCAAGTAAAAGGTCTGAATTGGGGTCCTGCAGCAGTTGGTAATGCAACATGGACAGGTGTGCCATTGCGAGAAGTTCTAAAACTAGCAAAAGTTGATGATGATAAAAAATACAAACACATTCAGGTTTCTTGGAAGTGTCCAAAGAATTCTCGAGTCTGAATAATCAATGTTTCAGTTTGAAGCAGTAGATGCTGACGTTACTGGAAAAACCTATGGGGCGTCAATTCCCATTTGGAAAGGACTGGATGAGAGGGGGGATGTTTTGTTAGCATATGAGATGAATGGTGTTCCAATTCCAAGGGATCATGGATTTCCTATACGGGTTATAGTGCCAGGAGTTGTGGGAGCAAGAAATGTTAAGTGGTTAGGTAAAATTTGCAAACAGCTCATTTTTCTTCTTCCATTGTAGAAACCCTTAAATACTTTTAGGTAAGATAATTGTATCAGAAAATGAAAGTGATTCGCATTGGCAACAAAATGATTACAAAGGATTTTCACCCTCCACTGACTGGGATACAGTAGATTTTACAAAATCACCTGCCATCCAAGAACTTCCTGTGATATCAGCAATTTGTAAACCAAGTGAAGGTGATATTGTACAAGTAGATAATGGAACAATTTCAGTGAAAGGTAAAACTTTTTCATAAATAACTGCCAATACAAAAGAAAAATTTGCAAACTCGCGGCCATTATTATAATGTGCAAAAAAAAAATCGTCATTTTGAAATACTCAAGCGCGTCAGATTAAGATATATATGATTCATCTTTTTGTTTTAGACGTGCTGTCTCATAATCTGACGATTATCTAGAGGGATTCGCCTAATCTGACATGTAATTGTAATGTGATTTGACTCTAGTTGTTAAATGTATATATCTATCAAACAGAAGAGCCGGTTTGAAATCCCAGTCGGGTCACATTTTTTTATGTACCTTTTTTTTTCGTATATGTCTGAATGCAATCCGAGGGTTTTAATAATACTCGCTTTACAAAACCTTTGCATATTTCACATCGTTGAATTATCACACTAATTTGTAAAGAAACATAATACATGCTGAAATGAAAATGACAAATAATAATAAGCTTTAAAATGAATATAATAACACTAAAAATTACACAACAAAGCTGAATGAAAATATAGGGCGAAATTGAAGAGATTTTGGTTTGGCAGCCAGTTATTTATGGTAATTTGTTATGGTTTTCAATATGTATAATTTGTAAGTTGTTGGTGGATCTAGTGGACCCAGTAAAATAACATCAGGTGATTAATATACTTTACAAAACGGAGAGTATCTGAAGGTATTTCTCAAAAATGTTAATCCGAAGAAAGAAGTTCTACTGTCCCTTTAGTTTATTTATACTGATGTTCATTCAGACGTTATCAATTTTCACCAAGTATCAAGCAATTCCATTTTTACCAAAAAGCAAACCATATGGATGAAATTCGTTAGTTAAAAAGTTTTCATTCTCTATACTGCTAATTTGTACACAGTAGTGTGGAAATGTACAAGAAACTATCATAAATATCTTTTGTACCTTAAACTATCAAAAGATACTGATGGATCTTTCAATTTTTCCTCTCAAGTTCAAATAGCCTAATGAGTGAATATAAACAAGTGTGGTCCTAGAATCTGTTTTTGAAGAACACTACACGAAACTGTATTTTGGAGACTTTATTATTATTCCTTTCTGACAGTAGTTAAATAGTAGTTATGAGGTGTCTCTAATCCTATTTTTAGATAGAGAATGCTCAATAAATTTGTGTGATCCACTGATCAAAGATCTAGATTCTAGAATTTCTAGAAATTTTGATTATCTTCAAAACCCATGTTTGCCATAATATATCAAATTGTATTTTTCTATATAATCTATAATGCTTTCTTTTTCAGTAGTTTGAAATAGGCCAATAATGAGAATGGTGAGATTTAGAATACTTAGAAATTAACAAACATAAACATTGCGGGTGCAACCTGTTNCCTAGTTGATCAACTAAGAATACTTTCCTGAAAACGGGTTGAGTTTCAGAAATGCTGTGTAAATTGTAATAGTGCTTAACTTCTCAGCCTCTCACTATTGTCTCCTAGAAGGTGTAAAAACACCCTGTCGGGTTAATAACAATGAGAGTCATGAATGAGTTCTAAATTTTCTAGGTTATGCCTGGTCTGGTGGTGGACAGAAAATAGTTAGAGTTGATGTGACAGCAGATGGTGGAAAAACTTGGCATGTGGCGAAATTTGATCATCAAGACTCTGCTTCATCTCCTCAACATTGGTCTTGGACGTTGTGGTCCGTCAAAATTCCAGTGAATGAAGATTCAAAAACAGTAAGAATCAATTCATTAATTTCATTCTATTTTAGTCAAATATATGTTGAACCAATAATGTATATGGATAATTCATTATCAAAGGAATGGATAAGGCTTCTAAGTATTGCTCATTATTTGAAATGTTTGTTGAACTCTTTACTGATTTCCATATTATCTTGTTCAATTTTTCAACCCTAATAAAGCTGTCCAGCAAATATAGTTCAACTTTTTTCCTGTTCAGAAAAACTTTCGCTATTCATCTGATTTCATTAAGTAATTTATTGTAACAACTGATAGCATTATATTCGTAACAGATTTTTGTTTAGAGTATAGTGACCATGTTCAGAAGCATTATTAAGAAATGTTTCTAAATTTGGCCTGGTATACATGATGCATGTCATGATATAGATGGAGGGAACTGTTGAAAGTTATTTGCTTTTGAATGTTTGTCAACCATTTTTCTTGATAATCCATATTGAATAAAAGTCCATTTATTCTCTTTTGTACTATAATAATTCTTGAAAATTCCCTTGGTCTGTCCCAGATCATGATGTGATTGATATGTGAATAGGCCATGCAGATTCATCTAAACTTAATTGCAACTGTATTATAGTATAATACATTTTATTCAAATTTGAACAAGTGCAATCCCAGCTTATTCAAATTTAGATGAAATATGTAAAATATTAGTACTAATATAATGTACATATGATGCACTGTTTAGAACCTTTGGTGTAGTAATTTTTTGATATGAATATATTTTCAAGGTTGAAATTTGGGCAAAAGCTGTTGACTCATCATATAATACTCAGCCCGAGAGTTTCGAAAACATCTGGAATCTTCGAGGAGTTTTAAGTAATGCATATCACAGGATCACTGTTAATTTACGACACTAGACTCGAACATGATATGGTAGAGGAGACAATATTATTCGTGACAAAGTAAAATCAGTTTATAATTGTTTATAGATTCATCATTTGGTTGTGATAGAAATCTTGTGATAGTCTAAGATTCATTCGATTTTGTATTTGGAGATTTATGTACAATACTCTTCTATTATATATTTTCTATTTAAAAAAATATAGATGCTGTTGGATTAAGGTTTTTTTTATTACTTGCAGTCTATAATCTGTATGGAGCATTTTGAGCTGTAATACTCATGTAATTTGATGTCGGGCTTCTTCTTCTAGGCTTGCCCTTTAAAGTCCAGCAACGCATTTGTGGTTCAGCCTAGCACCCATGATAAGACTTATGACAGGTAAAAACAGTGTTGTCTGGTGTTGGATCACAAATGTATTGTGTTTGAGCTCTACTTCAACCACTTGGTATATACTTAGAAATTTTGTTCCAAGTAGGAATTTAACAGTATTCCAAAGTTTAATTCGAAATTTAATGTCGGAATTTGGTGAATTTTATGACCCCTAAAGCCTTCATGCCTTATCAATTCCTTCTGAAAATAATCAAGGAAAAACTCTTCAGGTCGTGGGAAATTTATTATAAGTATATTTTTATTCCATTTTACATCAATGAATTTTTTACCATTGTTGTTGTAGGCAGGAGAAACATGATCAATTGAGCTTGACGTATTATTTCGCAACTGGTTATAATTATCTATATTATCTTTGTCAGAACAAGATATTTTAAACAAAGATATAAATATGGGAACACTTACTAGTAAAGGTAATCGCTTTGCCGACTCTTTAGCCAAATAAGCGGCTGGACTAAGAATTTTAGGATCCAGTGACACCTGCAGTCTTTGACTTTGACAATTGCGGAACTAGCCAAACGTCACACCAATGCTCAATCCCTTAAGAGACGGGATGGAATCAAAGGATGCAAACTTGCCAGGATCACCCTGGAAAGCTGGCGCCGAAGAAATATCTGGCGATGACCAGGAAAAATCTTTGCTTAACAGTAGGATTTCTGACTGGTCACTGTCAACTAAGGAAACACCTCCATAATATGGGGCTAGTGGACACACCTCTATGCAGGATGTGTGAACAGGAAGATGAGACTGTCAGGCATGTCCTATGCGAGTGCCCGGAGTTATCGTCAATAAGATATTGTGTGTTCGGCGAGTCTTGGCCTACACCTGTCCACCTCACTGGAAAGGACAGGATGGACGATGACCTAGGAGGACAACTCCTCGGTAGGATGTACAATGGGTCACATATAGCCTGAGTGCTGTGTGCTTACACTCACCCCCCCTACTCTACAGATACAGAACAGTTGGAAATAATGCCATATTCCGCATATGATTTTCAATCTATGTTGGACAGAGTTGTAGTGCAATATTTACTGAAAAAAAGAATGTTCACTCTTTGATGTATATATGTCTACGAATGTGTGATTTTTTGTTGAAGAAAACGTGTCATTATTCGCAACTTTTGATAGGAATTACACTCGTAATAAAAACAGTTTTTTCAATTTAGTGACACATTTTACTTTTTGACAAAAAACGTTTTCTTTTCTGTTAATACTTTAACAAAATACTTCAATCCATCAAAAACTTGTGCCTTAGAAAGATGAAGGAACGAAAATAGTGCTTCTATCAAAGAGATATTATTCAGCAGAATATCGTTGATAAACATTGATATACTGGTAGTTTATAATTCAAATAAAAACGTTTTCATTTAAAAAATGTATTTTCAACTACTGTTTATATAATGACTACAAGGTTTTATACTAATTCAGACATTCTATGATAGTTTGGTTAATGACCATATACATATATACATACATATCTATAAAGAATCCAATGTGTCTCAAAATTACATCCAATTATGTATAAAAATATCAAAATTCAAATGGAAACGATAAATTGAAAAAAAAGTTTAACCAACCAAAATATAAAAGTATACTGAATAAATATTACTTTTGTACCCACCTATAGTGTATTATGCCCGTCAAGTCAGTTAGCTCCCAAAAATATCTAAAACATAAACAAATGTGTCTTTGATAAGCAAATAGGATTTTGATGAAGAGAGTGAGTTTTTCAATGTGTTTCTAATACTTGATAAGTAGATAACAATCAATATTTATTGTGACAAGAGAGTGCAAAAAAGTTTAAATTCCTTTACCCCTTTTCACTCTCATTTTGGTTTCTTTCTTTTGTTTTAACGTATAATCACAAAAAATATGTAGTAGCAGGAACCCCTCCCCGCGATGTAATAAAAGATGTTTTCTAAATATTATTTTGCTATCTTATTGTTTCTTATGGAAGTATCCTACAAGTGATGGTTTATACAGAAAGTAGATTTTTTATTTTCGTCTTTTTGTTCTCGTTTTGGATTTGTTTACTTTGTGAGTATAGGCAACCATCAACCGAATTCAGGCAGTTCTACTTTGCCCTTTGATCTTTTGCCAGTATTCAATCAACAGACATCGATTATTTTGCAATATCTTTTACTTTTTGGTGGTTATCAAGCACTTTTGCATGTTTTTGTGAGTTTTAATTACTTCTTTTATTATGCTCATGTATGTACTAGTTGTAGACTATACAGTGTAGACGTAAATAGTTCCCCTCTCTTTGAAGGGTACAAGATATCGGATAAAATTAACGTAAAAAGTAGACTTTTTAGTAATTTTTGATGAGAAAGAAAATAGTTTGCACCACTCGTTGGCGAGATGGCGCTACCAACTTTTTTCTAAATAGCAGTAGAAACACATTCCATAATGTATGAAATGAAATTGTATACAAACTCCATTATTGTCAAGAAGTGAACAGTGGACATTTCAAACATTCATTGGAATCAACTGGAGTGAGTTTTGAATACAGTTTTCTTAAAATAATATTTATTCTATGGTTGCAGATCATTGAAATGAATATAAAACTGCTAATGACTCAGGAACGGCTATCAAAACTGAAAAAGTGTTGAAATGAGAGTTAAATAACCTATAAAATAACGTATCACAAGACCCCCATATACATTTGAAAAGAAAGTTGCTAGCTCTCTCGGGACAAATGATGTAACACTTTGTCTTTTTTATAAAAAAAAATGTTTAAAATATGTTTTTCCGTTAACCAGCTATCGCACCCATACGAATGACAATCCTCAGAAGTCGAAACTTGTGTGAGCTAAGGACTAAAGAGGTCTTACCTTTTCACGTGTGATTCCTAACACGGAATAGAAGAAATAGAAATGAAACCTTTCTACGTAAATTTGGTCCAACCTTGAAACTTTGTTTTGTTTTGAAAGTTGGATGGGAGGGGCTAATTTCCGTCCGCACTGTATAATTGTCGAAATATTCTTATAAATGAATATCACTGTAAGGTAGTATAATCTATTTTCTATTGATGGGCAGTTTAAACAGGATAGCATATCGGATATATTTCAGGATACTTCTTATTCTACGACTTTGAAATTTCTGTAGAATTACTCGTAGATTTATCAAAAACAATAATTAAAAATGGCCCGGTAAGTTGCACAAAATGAAAAATAATATATTTCTGTTGGTTATATGCTAGTAAAAGTTTGGAGAATAAGATAATACATATTTAATAAAATTGTCTATACTCAAAAGTATACAAGCATGTGTTCCCGAAAAGATAAAAAGATGTCTCAAAAGTGGTGGTTCCATAGAGAATAAGTATTGTACACTTTCACGGTCGAGGGTAACAATGTCAAAGCAATTTTTCGGGTTTGTTGGCCATAATCTGTAAGTTTGGGTGTATCTTTGTCTTCAAAAAAAATCTGAGCGGACAACTAGATCACTTTATCTGTTGCCGCAATGCCTTTTATAATGTCTACTGCAGTTATAGACAAAACGTCGGGTATAAAAACCTGCAGACCACGGCCATCAAAACCGGAGAAAAACTTTGGCACTGGAATAAGTATTCATTATATTTTTTATTATTTTGAAGGCTTAGAGGATTGTTTTTTATAAGATAATCTGTCAATAGGAATTGATGGAAACAAAAAAGTGAATGACAGGTATTTTTTTGTCCAAATGGAGAAGGGTACTAAAAATTGAAAACTGGTTTTTCTTCTCTATGCAAGTTCAAGGAATTTTTTCTCGTTACATATTTACGAAAGCAAATTAGAATATGGTCCCATAACAGTTATTAAATTTTGTAATAATCCCCTGGTCTTCCATCTGTTGAAATACTTATTTTATGTGAGGAAAAATTAAATGAAGTTGTTAAATTTTTTTTTGAATTAGTAACAAAAAATACTGAATTCTTATACATGGAATATAATTCTTCTAGTTTACTATACTAATTTGGAGTAAAATGCAAAAAATACTTCCTACTTGTGAGAACAGCAAAGTTAGCCATCCCATTAACAAGTAATTTGGATACTGCAAACCCTGTGAAAAAATAAAATTACTCAATTGAAATTTTGATGCCCAAGATATTTGGGACAATTGTGGAGTCAAATATCTAAAAATTACATTAATTTGAGCAAGGTTGAATATTTTTAAAGTATCGATGTGACAGTGAACACACATATGGATGATTGAAGCACGTTAGGAATGGGTATCTGGAGTTTTTGATAGCAATTTTTTTGTTTTACAGACCACGTTCACCCGAGCATAAAACAATTGTCGTTATAATAATCAAGGTTCTAACATCCACCACCTGGGAAATATTTACACAGATCGAGCGTAACTACATCTCTACCTATCACATTCGATTAACTGTTCGTAAATTTGGCATGTCAACTATCAAAAGTTTGAGCTAATTTTTTTCAATAAAATTAAAAATTATGTGATAATAGCTTTTTTAATAACAGAAATGAATACTTTTTTACTGAAACTGAATTTGTCCTAGGAATTCCTGTTTTACTTGTTCTTCTACAAAATCAAAATTTTGGTATATCAATTATAAACTCATATTTTGATGTAAAGAAACCTATTTACATATGTTTGTCAGTTTTCAAGTATCCCTATTTGCATAGGCTATACTGAGTGGGAAAATATTTGAATAACCTAAATCATTTTCACACTTGCCTTTTTTTTATTGGGTCAAGCAGACAGCGAGATTTTATCCCATTCATTTAGGGACCATTTTTATAGAAAATTCACTTTCTGACACCTTACGGAATTTTCATGTCACTAAATTATGAAACCGCCTAAAGTAAAAGTTTAAACAACTCAATGAATCAAGTTTGATAACACCAATCTGCTTTTCAATAGATTTAGCTTTATTACACCAGTTTTATTTATTCAACATTTGAAGAAAATGGTTTTTACACAGGCATTATTGTTGATTTTGGTAACATCGATTGTTAGAAACTATTCTTCAAGGTGTAGTGTGAACGTGGTCATACACACAAGTATTAAGGTTAATAGTAAAGAAATAATAAGTACTATTTCTTTACAATCAAGCAGTGGGATGTGTTGAACTGAATTGCATTCATATAAATTGTAGGATTAGGATATTTATAAATAATTCAGATGAATTACTCACCCCTATTTCTAAGATTGATTAGGATGTAAAGAAGCATATATGGGCGCAGCCTTGGATTTTGCTAACTCCGAAGCATTTTTCGCCGCATCTTTCAATTTTGTGGCAGCTTTAATTGTGGCATGTGTTGATGGTAAGTTATTATAGTGGGGATATAAATTGGAGAGAACGTAGTTGAAACCACCAGCCTGAGAAAAATATGTTTATCTTTACAAAACTGACAACGGGGTTTGTCACGGGTTATTGTCAAAATAGTTGAACTTTCAATATCTAAAAAATTATCTTGTGATTCCCAATACTTATATGCATTCAAAACTTATGTGAAATATTTTTCATGTGTATTTCTTGATATCTGAAATATTTAAAAATGAATTTATATGCAGGAAAAATGAATCGCCAGTAAATGTAGTAATTACTATTTTCTTGGAGTGTCCATTTCATAAATTTTCTATAATTTCATGAGGAATCATTATAATATTACAGTGAAAGTATCGATGATCAGTCTTTTTTAAAAGATATGGTTTTGCAAACATTTTCTGTTGTGCTCCAAAGCACTATACGATTTAAAATAAACTCCACAAAAAAAAATCTTGAAACTTGAAATATTTGGAAATCGTGTAACATCTAATGAAATATTCGATTATATCTGAAACAAGGTACCTAGAAAGAGTAATTGGGATTTTCAGTTATTTTATTGAATGTTAATGTTTAAATTGGGCAATAAGCACATGTAAATTTTTATCACATTCATGGTAGTAAGTCGCCCTCAAAAGAATGGAAATGTTTAAACCACAAGTACTCAATTTATTTCAGATATATGTAAATAAGTGTTTCATGGGTAGTGAAGTTTAATACTTGCAAAATTTTGAAATGAATTATAACTTTTCAACAGATGAATTCTGAAATTCAAAACTAAGTTATCATTTAGTTAATCATATAAATGAATAGCAATATTTTAAATATGTAAATATTTCATTAATGTCTCTTATAGTATTCAAAATTATTTGAATTGGGTGTAATAATAAAATCGTGTTGAATATTAAAATTATTTTTATCCAGAATTTTATCAGCAGCTATATTATTTGTAAAAAAGACCATACTCTAAAAAAATGCAATATATTTTTTGAGTACCATTCATTTTCTGTTCTATAAAATGTGAGGAAAATAATGTACTACACAAGAAAATTATTCAATGTTTGTCATATTTGATTGTTTATAAGATTATTCTAACTATTTTGACAATCACCATAAAAGCTATTCTGATTTTTTTTATGAAATGAATATTGAATGAACAAATATGAGATTTTGTATATGCAACAGTATAAAATTACCTTTTGTGGTAATAAAATATCAACTTTGAAAACATCTGCAGTTACTGATTATATAATTGTTTGCAAAAGATTATCTACCTTATAAGTTTAAAAACATTTACCATTTTACAACAATTTTTCTTGAAACGTTCATACCCAAAAGCACAAATTGCTCGACTAAATCCTTTAATTTGGGAGTCAATCCAAGCATACCTCAAGGCTACTGTTTTTCCAGGATACTCTTCACTTTCTGTATAAACAACTTTTTCAGTCACACTCTGGAAAACAAACAGTATTTATTTTAGAGGTTTACTGAACATCCTCAATATCTTTAGCATACCATCACTTTGGCATATCCTAAATTTCGTGTATAGCTCACAAGAACTCGGTTACCAGGGTCAACAATGGTTTCTTCCACAATATTGACATTTTTCGCCGTCACAAACCTCTCGGCCCATTTTGGAAGGCTACTCAAGCTCGTTTTTGATAAAAGACGTTTGGAAAATAACTTCCCGGAACGTACTTCCCTTTGTACCGTGTCTTCACTGAGTACATGCTTACTGTAAGTAGTTATCAAAATAATATCTATAAGAGATTACATTCGTGATTGTTACCTGTTGGGATTAGGATACCTTTTCCAAAATCCTTGAGCCACTTGGTCCCAACTATAACTGAAAACCGTGGTATCTGAGAAAAACTTTGGCATTGTTACTGATGTTGAAATATTTCGTATATAATTGAATGACCGTTTTCTTAGATAGCAAGTTTGAATTTTAAAGCCATTTTAGTTAGCAAAATGGAAAACACGAGGAAAATTGGACTATACCCCTTCTTGATCTTAAAGTACTGTCAAAATTTAATGGTAATATATATTGTAAACAAATTAAATGATAAAAGCGCCTAGATACAACATTGACTTGAGTACATCAGCTGATGACTCAATAGTGATGTTTCTTTGATATCAATAGCATCAATAGAATACCCTGAATTAATTATACCAAAGAAACGTAAGAATGATATTGAGAGTTTCAACAATTTTGACAGGCATATCGATGAACAATGTTTGATTTCGCTTGCCCTCTCAGTCCATGTCCATCTCAAAGAATCCGCCGACTCAGAGTAAAAAGTAGCAAGTGGAATAATTCAAAGAACACAAAAACGACGGGAATGGTCGTTCCGCCATTACGACACAGCGATGACAATCGTCTGACAATTCCTCAATTTTTGCAAAATTCAGCGTTCACTGTCATTTTTCAAAGTCACTAAATTTGGTAATCGCAATTGGAACCCATTTCGTTAAATAATGTTTCATGTTCGTTGTGTTCGGAGTACTTTTAGTGTCCACGTTTTCTATTATATTCTGACTGTAACTATTCTTGTAGTCCTCTCATTGATAACTCAGGCGACTCATCCAAAAAAGAGCTTATTTTCACCATAATAGTTCGGTGTATAAAATCATTACAAATAACGTGTTGAAATAATTTCCATTTTGAAACATTGGAAACATGGTTAAAACATGGAAAAAATGTTCCGGATATAACGAAAAAACGGTTTTATAATTGCTGTTTTGTTTTGAACATAACGATATATATAGGAGATAATATGGATTTTCCCAGATGTGTTCAAGGATACATTACTTCCTATGAGATAATAATATGGAACTAGTACCTGGGTACATCTCTTGGGACACACTCAAATAAACAAAGAACAACAACAATGAATTTAATATAGGATAAAGAAATTAATTTTTGTTTGATACTTGAAAATGGTTTAACAAACCAAAACCGGTCTTTCAAATGAAAATGAAAATCTGTGATATTCAATATGAATTTTAACGAAATAAATAGGTCACCAATCGAATAAGTCGAAACAATAAATTTTACAAAATTTAAGAGTTTGTAGAACTTTTCGAAATGTTCATTTTGCAGAGTTCAAATCTAGATTAAATATACCCAATGAATATACACAACACTCTCGATCTACGGGAATCTATTGAGTTGGGTCAATCACATTCGTCGCGTCGAGAGTTTTTGTCGAAAAAGCGAATCGGTAAAACATCAGTGTTTCTAGTCATCATTTTCTGGAAGTTCATGAGCGTTTGAACATCAAAGCACAGTATTTCTCAACCATATACTTCTGTGGTCTAAGTATGTTTAAAAATCCGTAGGTCCCCCGAGGAGGAGGCGACTAGAAAAAATGATGTTTTATTTGAAAAAAATATTATTAAAAAAATGATATAGGTAATTCCTTGAGTAAGACCGCTGTGTACCTTATATAGGTACCTTATAGGTTATGTCGGTGGTGCACCCAGACGAAGCTTCAGTGAATTTATGACAAGAGGAAGAGGAGACTGGCCAATTACTCCCGAATGGCAAGAAACGGCCATTGAAAATAGAAAGAGAGAAAGGTATAAGTAGATGGAATAATTTTGCTGATGATTGTTTTATGTTCTGTGATTTGAATATTTGCCACCAAGTAACTTTAAATCTCAATAGGTAAATCAATAGTGGAGGTAGTAATGTAAACTACAAACAAAAACTACTCTCTCTGTGTTGAATATTTATCCTTATCCGGTTTTATTGTTTTTTACCCAATTAAAATATTACAAACAAAATATTCCACCTTCGCGTACTAGATGGAAAAAACTGACTCATTTTGAATACAGTGAGCGTTGATGGGGAGAATGTGGAGTAATTCTATGACATTTTCAACTTGTCATGAGCTAATCAAAATTGACTTTCTTTACAAAAACGATGATGGTTTGCACCAGAATCATAAAATTGAGAAAAATCAACCATAAAGTTTTGTTTCGATATTTTCATGAAACTCCTAGGTTACTTGGAGTTCTAAAAAATTCCCCTAATGCACAACTAGATAAAAGTATTTATAACAGGTAATACAACAGAAACAAATATGGTTGGAGACAAAAATATGGATAATACAATTTTCTTCTAGGTACATGTGCCTCCCTATTCCTGAGTTGAAAGTTCATGGTACTTATATATGGATAGACGGAACAGGTGAAAACTTGCGCTCCAAATCCCGAACTCTTGAATTCAACCCAAGCACTTACAAAGAAATTCCGAATGGGACCTTCGATGGGAGTAATACACTGCAAGCTCCTGTTCAAAATCCTGACTGTTACCTGATTCCTATAGCTATGTACCACGATCCAATTCGAAGAGGAACAAGTAAATTGGTGCTTTGTGAAACCTTTGATGCCAACGAAAAACCAAGTAAAAGTAACCATAGACAGGCATGCGTGGCATCATTGAATAGAATTTGTGACCAGCAGGTGGAAATTGGCTTCAAACAGGAGTACTTTTTCACAGGAAAGAGCGGAAAACCTTTTGGATGGTCAACTGAGGGGGATCCAGAACCATCAGGTATCATTGTTAATTAATTTCAAAATAGAATAATTACTCAAAAGCAAATCATAAAAACATGGAATTGTTGATACATTTTGGAATTTAATTAGGAACTAATAGACACCTAATGGGGTGAATCAAAATTTCAAACAACTGAAAATGGAAGTAAAATTCTAAATTGGTTTTTTCCACTTCAGTTGTGAGGCAATTTAAAAGACAGAATAGTGGAAATTGAGGAATTTCGGTTTTATGAAATAATCATTATTCTGTGGAGTCTGCGACAAAAAGTATTGTTCTCAAAACCTTATTTCGAATATTGACAATTTGATTATATGTTGAAAATAATTTCGAAGTCTTAAAAAGTATTATTCATTTGATAAGAAGATTCTAAAATTTGAATGCAAGCGCACTCACTAGAATCCACAATGTAAGAAATTACTTTTTGTCAACGTCTAGTCAGGCGAACATTGAAACAGCTCAATATCAACAAGGGGTGCGCAAATGAATTCGCACCAGTATTTTGCAGACTTTTCAACCTGTCTTACAAGGAGTTTTTCCTTCTTGTTGGAAGATTTCTCGCGTTCGGCCTATTCCCAAAAAGGGCAAGAAAAATCTTCCAAATTTGGAATAACAAGAAACATGGTGAGTCAAGAGCTGTTGCACTTTATACTTCTAAGGTCTTTGACCGTGTATGGCATGAGGGTTTTTGCTGGCCAAACCTTGATGCTATGACTTGCATCATTTTTTTTGTATGGCTCTTTCCTGAAAGAACGTTCCCTGCAAGTGGCCGTCGATGGATAGCTCTCGAATACTTTCAACATCAACGCTGATATTCCCCAGGGATCCACATTGTCTCCAACACTTTTTTTTTGTATGTCAACGACTTATTGGAAAAAATAGAGAATCCAATATATTGCTTTGCTGACTACAGCACACTTGTCTCATCTTTCCATTTGGATTCCAGAACATCGGCTGTGGATGCACATCTTCACCGGCAGCTGCAGGTTGCATATCCTAATGAGGATCTAGAAGTAATTTCGAATTGGGGTGAAAGTAACCAGGTGCAATTCAATGCCACAAAAACCCAGGCACGGTTTTCTCCAAAAAGATAAATGTCTACGAACCGGATATAATAATGTCAGGCCAGACAATTCCGCTTTCTGCTTCGGTAAAATTGTTGGGCGATAAAATGGGCACCAATAATATGTCTTGGCACAATCATGTCGCTGGAATTGCAAAGGCTGCTTCTCGAAAATTTGGAACACTGTTCCAAATCAGAAAACTGTACACACCTCAGCAACTTTTGATGCTTTTTGAAGCTCAGATCAGACCTTATTTGGAGTATTGTTCTTATGTATGGAGTTCCGCCCAAAGACATACCCTGAAGCTGCTGGATTCCACCCAGAAAAGAGCCGTCCGCCTGATTGGAGACACGAACATCACTTGCAACCTTGTTATTCTGGAAAATTGAAGACAGTTTGGGGATTTGTCTCTCTTCTATATATACTTTCACTGAAAGTGTTTCGGCAAGAGCGGTACATATCAGAAATACGCGACAGGCTGTGGCTGCTCATCGTTTTGAGGTTCAACTCAGTACTCCTCAAAAGAATTCTTACATTTGGAGAACTTGTCTTACAAGGAGTTTTTCCTTCTTGTTGGAAGATTTCTCGCGTTCGGCCTATTCCCAAAAAGGGCAAGAAAAATCTTCCAAATTTGGAATAACGCTATCAAGAAACATGGTGAGTCAAGAGCTGTTGCGCTTGATACTTCTAAGGCCTTTGACCTTGTATGGCATGAGGGTTTTTGCTGGCCAAACTTCGATGCTATGACTTGTATCATTTTTTTGTATGGCTCTTTCCTGAAAGAACGTTCCCTGCAAGTGGCCGTCGATGGATAGCTCTCGAATACTTTTAACATCAACGCTGATATTCCCCAGGGATCCACATTGTCTCCAACACTTTTTTTTTGTATGTCAACGACTTATTGGAAAAAATAGAGAATCCAATATATTGCTTTGCTGACTACAGCGAATTGGGGTGAAAGTAACCAGGTGCAATTCAATGCCACAAAAACCCAGGCATCGGTTTTCTCCAAAAAGATAAATGTCTACGAACCGGATATAATAATGTCAGGTCAGACAATTCCGCTTTCTGCTTCGGTAAAATTGTTGGGCGATAAAATGGACAACAATAATATGTCTTGGCACAATCATGTCGCTGGAATTGCAAAGGCTGCTTCTCGAAAGTTTGGAACACTTTTCCAAATCAGAAAACTACACACCTCAGCAACTTTTGATGCTTTTTGAAGCTCAGATCAGACCTTCTTTGGAGTATTGTTCACATGTATGGAGTTCCACCCTAAAATATACCCTGAAGCTGCTGGATTCCACCCAGAAAAGAGCCGTCCGCCTGATTGGAGACACGAACATCACTTGCAACCTTGCGGTACATATCAGAAATACGCGACAGGCTGTGGCTGCTCATCGTTTTGAGGTTCAACTCAGTACTCCTCAAAAGAATTCTTACATTTGGAGAACTGCGTTTTATGTGGAATAAACTTCCTGAGAACGTTTTCCCAAATGGATTTAATCTAAAACGATTCAAATCCAACGTGAATTACTACTTGCGTACAGGCACCGCTCTTAGAGTGCCTTAAGGATTTTCCTGTATTGCTTGTGTTTTGTCCTTAAAAAAATTCTTGGATTATTTCAAATTTGAAGCAAGTAAATATATTTTATCTTAGAAAATATATCAAATCAAAGAATAAAAACTGCTAGCTATAATAGTAAATTCCTTTCAGTTCTGAAGACGGAGGCAGATTTTTGCCTCTCAAACGTTACTACAATAAGTATTTGTGCAATGGACAAAATTATAAAATACAAAAAGTAACTGATGAATAGCGCATTTTCTTTTGTGTAAAATACAGTGAATTTACGCAGTCCTTTCTGCACCTGTATTAAGCTCTTCATAAAAAGTTTTACATTTATTAAATTGTGGAAGGTGAGAATTCCAAAAAAGATCAATGAAAAAATTAAATTTTTCCCACAAGAAATACCTTTTGTTTTATAAATGGTAATTGAATTTTAGAAAATAATAAAGGACACGGTATTGAACTGGTTGAAACTGAAATTATTTCAACTTTCAACTTGAAACAGAACAGTACTACAAATACCGCATGAAGAATTTCAAAGAAAAATCCCCTAGACAAAAATATGAGGATTCTAACTTGGCCAATATACTCCACTTCTCAAAATTAATGAGTTATGAGGTCATTTTCATTTCAGATTTTCAGTATGCAGGAGTTGGAGCATTTAAAGTTTATGGACGGGAAATTGCAGAATCATTCTATCGTTGCTGTCTTTATTGCGGAATAGACATTGCTGGAGACAAACCTGAAAGATTCCTGAGCCAGTGGGAGTTCAGAACTGGACCATCTTCTTGTATAAAGGCAGCTGATGACTTGTGGATGGCAAGATGGTTGCTTACAAGAATTGCAGAGGATTTCGGAGTTGGCGTGTCTTTTCAGCCATCATTTTCACCAAAGTGGCATGGCTCAGGTGATGACTCCAACATTTCCACCATTGAAAATGATAGAAATAATCTGACTGGATAACTGAAATTTTGTCAATATATGGTTTCATGAATACAGGGTGTATTAACAATGTGTATTTGGACAAAAGCTACTTTTTTATTGGAAATAAAAAAAATGTAGATTAATTGAATGCCCTACTTTAATGTTTTTGTTGTGCTGTCCTTCGATGCTGATTTTTAATTCTTAATACTTTTTGAATAATAAAACGGGTTTTTTCATTCTTGTAATTTGTTTGAGCGAGGAATAAAACCTAATTATTAGCATTCTTCATTTTTTGAAACGAAGTGAAAAACTTTTCTGATTATTTATGAGGTCTGCAGACATTGCAGCCTCTCTAGAGAGTATATATTGCAATTTCTCATTTGCATAAGTGAAGATTCTGAAATGTTTATATCATCATCTCTAATTTTCATTATTTTCCTTCCTCGGTTGACTGGTTGAGCAGAGTAAAGCACTTTATTAATGTCTGATGTGGTGAAAATAGTAGATGAATACATGTGACACATTATCATGGAAAATAGAAAATGCAAATTTGAAAAAATAAAGTCTTGTTTTTCACATCTTCCTGCTGATCTGAGGAAAAGTAATCCTAAGTTTTGATTACCATTCTATGGATAGGGCACCATTCTCAAGGATATTTGGTTGAAAAATTCTCTTTTTCCATTCAATCGAGTAGAAGATATTTGGTGCCATCATAATTTCCAAACCACCGGATTTAAACCCAACAATAATTTTTCAATAACAACTCTAGGAAATCAACAATCAACTGAGTGAAAATATATATGGCATCTCATTTAAAAAAACACAACTTTGATCAGATACACTTTTATTGGACACCCTATAATATAATGTAGCTTCCATAGCTCTCAAATATCATTTGAAACATTTTTTTTATATTAAATATTGAAGCAGCTATCTATCCAAGCATTGTTGATATACTCTGTATATCAAAATTAATAATTTATTACTATTTAGGTCTACATGTAACTTTCTCTTCTAAGAGAATGAGAGAAGAGAATGGATTAAGGCATATCGAAGAAGCTATCAAAAAATTAGAAAAACGTCATGACGACCATATGGCAGTATATGATCCTAAGGGAGGAGCAGACAATATTAAAAGGCTTACGGGTCAGTTTAACAGCTCGTTGGCTAATAAATTCACTTTCAAAGTAGCAGATCGAACGGCATCAGTAAGAATCACAAAGACTGTGAATGCAAAAAAGAAAGGATTTTTTGAAGATCGCAGGCCTGCAGCTAATGCTGATCCTTATCAGGTCATTAATGCTTTAGTAAAAACATGTATAATAGAATGAAAATAAATATTTCATAATTTTTCATGATTCCTTTCGCACAATTACCAGAATTTATTTGTCAAAAATTTACATAAAACCATAATTATGAAGTATAATGACAGATAAACAAATACAACCTTATGTAGTAAGATTAATTCAATATTTTTACGAGTTTTTGTGTAGTTTCTATTGAACCAGTGTTTGACTGAGCCACATACGATCAGTTCTCGTGATAATCTATGATTGAAAGAAAAGCTGCTATTTTCAATTCAATATGTTGAACATCACAAAATGGCGATGTATCATTTCCTATGATATGAGTGTCAAATGAAATGGCTTTGAGAGCGAATCACAATAAGCAAAGTGGCGTCATTGTAAATCTAATATGGCGCACCATACAAGATAGCAGACAAACTATTTTTTATGTACACTCTCATGATATGGATATAAAATGAAAGGGCTTGCTAAAAATAATATGAAAAATAAAATGACACTCATGCACTCATTAATGTCAAAAAATATAACTGGACAAAGGTTAGGGATAGTTATGTGGTGCTCAGACTAATGTAGATACCAACACTGCAACAATGACACATAAAACAAAATGAACACACTGAAAACATATCCGGCCATAACCAAGTGAAAAATTAATAGTAAACAACATTTTCAAAAACAATATTTTACTTACATTTTCTAAAAAGGATAAATAAAAAGAAAATTAACTTCATATCACTGCAAAACGTTATATGTCAAAAAGTGCTACTTATCAGGAGATACAAAAAGAATCTGTTATAAATTGTTTTTAATAGGTACTGACACAAATTTAATTTCTGTTCTTTAATGAAGAATTTAGCCGTCTGTTGACACACAATGTTAAATTAAAAACCATTTTTTGAACTCTTCTGTTGCATTGTCTGGAATCAGAATTTCGGAAAGGACATAGCTGTACAAACATTTTTCTACATATTGCGGATAATGTAATGAAATCAATAGATGAAAACAAATGTAGTGTTATTCAGCTAGGCGTTTGAAACCATTAGTTATAATCATTTGATAGGTATTTTGGATTATAATGGTTTTTCTGCCAACGCTCTGGCTTTACTGACAGACTATTGGGAGTATAGACAGCAGTTGGTTATTATGGAATAATACAGCTCAGATATCTTATATCTCAAATCAGAGGTACCTCAAGGATCCATACTTGGCCCTTTATTGTTCTTTATTTATACTTCTTGCTTACTACAGGCTCGTCACACTTGTCAGGTGCATTCATACGCTGATGATACTCAAATATATCACAGTATTCCGGCGAAAATGGCAGACAAAGCTAGTGACATTTTCAATGCAGATATAAATAGATTTGATGAACTGTTTATTTATAAACCCTAATAAATCGAATGTAATGATCTCTGGTCCAAGATTTCACCATACCATAGTGATTAACTCATCGAATATCTGCATTCGCAATGGACCACTAGATATTGTAACAGGTAATATTTCAAAACTCATTCCATCCATGTTATCTGTCTTCTCGATTAAATTATCTGAAGGGAAACGTTGATTAGTAGGTTGATTTGGAATCTCTGGCATATAATAAATCTTAAGAAAATACTTTTCTCATACATCTGAACTGTGAAAAAATTTCAACATCTCTTATGATTCCCAGATTCCAATTTAGATTACCATCATTAGATGCTCTATATGTATATTGTTTTCATGATATCGACTTAGTCAGGGAAACGTGGACTGTCTTTTCGTAGCTCTAGTATGTGGAAAAGTAATTTTCATCATAGTAAAATGAAGGGTTTGAATCAAGATGAACCTAACACACCCAAGTCACATGATCAACACTGAGAATTGTAAAAGGTATTGTCGAAAATACTTACAACAGCCAACAGCAAACTCCCGTTAACATTAAAATTACTTGAATCACCCTAAAAATCATTAAATTAAATGAGTGTTGAAAAAAAATGAAATGTTCATTACCCCCTGTTAGGTCCCTTTGGCACTAGAAAAGGTAAAACTCCACCGACTCCTCCCCAAAAAACCGTGAAAATGATAAATGGTAATGCTGCAGCACCCATAATTGGATAAAGGAATTAAATTATTGATTGAAAAAAATTAAACAATTTATTTCACTCCACTAATAAAACTGAGAAAATTCAGTTTTCAATCAGCTGTCCTGTGTCTTGTCTGTCAATATCACATGATATTCTGCTTCTTTTTCATGCGTGCTTTGCTTTCACTAGGTTACTATGACAGCGATCTTAATTTCCAGTTTTAAGTAGAGATGGGTCGGTATTTGAAAAACGATATTTCGGAGCGCGATACCGTACCACTCAAGAATAATGCACGACGATTTTTGCTGAGTGTCATGAATGTCTGATCGCGGGCGCTAGTTCTCGTTCTCATTGAATCCCCGAACCTCTGTGGTGGTGCTTTGATGTGGGTAACAATGGAATGCGATCGCGATATATCATCTGCAAGCTATTATGGATCTTTTTGTCATATGTATTACACCCAATATGAAAATGCGAAAAATTTACTGAATTGAGATATTATTTTTTGATAAATCGGAAATGGCGAGTCTGTTTACCGTCAATTACTCGCTTTATCGAATATAGACGATAACAGAAAAGAATAGCAAAGAAATTCTTTGTGATTTTTAGATATTTTTCAATATTAGTGGCCTTTTGTAATATTCACTTCTGTGCGATTCATCGGAACTTGAATGTAACTTTTGAAAAGAAGCGACCAACTTCGCTATTCATTTTATATACTATGAGAATAAATGGTTGGGTAATGCATAATCACAGTGTATCATTTCCAATTTCCAATTAGAAAATATTTCAACTTTTGACTATTCTCAATGACACACTTTTCACAACACACAACCGTTTCGTTTCAAAAGTAATCAACAATAATATATTTTTCAGGTAAACACTGTCAAAAATCTGTTTAATGGCGGTTAGGACGTGATTATTTTTGGAACATATTCTTAATGAAATGACAATTAAAAGACAAGTGACATTTATTTTATTTTTTAGGTGTGATAATAATAATAATAAAGTAAAAATAAAATATTTTTGATTTCTACTTTTTACTAAAAACTTTAGTTTACTTTACTTTTCGATGTCTATCGGCGGAAGACATTGTTTATCAAAAATATTCCAACCTATTACAATAATTTCTAAGAAGTCTAATCTGACTAGGCAAGATGTAACTTCTAAGAGCCAAAGAGTGAGAATATATTTCTATACTGATTCAAATCTTTTTATTTTATATCTTTTTTGTAGCTGATGCTAGACTTAGGTTTTATTCAACAAGCTAGCCCAGGATGTTTTCATTTTTTACCTCTGGGTTTGAAATCTTTGAATAAACTCATCAAAATCGTAGATGATGAAATGTTCAAGATATGTGGTCAGAAAGTACTCTTTCCAGGACTCACTAATGATAAGCTGTGGAAAAATAGCGGTAAATATTTTGCTTACATGCTTTAATTACATTTGTTACACATAATTGTGCCATAAAGCAAATGGTGCCATAAAGCAAATGGTGCAAATAGTTACACAGTCACCTGTTAAAAAAAAAACTCAGAAACTAAACATACTGAAGACCCAATATACACATTCTTATATCAAGATATGAACATATTAAAGAAAGTTAGTTCTACATTTATCAACTCTTCCTGGAAATTGAATAGAACTGGCCGATACTTGATGAAAATCCATATTAACAAACTAATCAATAGAGTTTATGTTATGATTTTCACTATAAGGGTTTTACAAAAACCGCGACAGGTGTTTCGCTATACAATAGCTTCTTCAAGCATAACTTGTATGGAAAACCCATCGTGATGTTCTGCAGCAATTGGGACTAATATTTTGATACTTTTCTTCCTTATATTGTACGAAAAGATTGAATCAAACCATGATAGTAATGGAAGGATATACAATTCAATTCAATTTTATTTGGAATATGTTAATATACAATTTATTTGATATATAGAGAAGGAAAGGTTAGTATTTTTAATGTAATGAATGAATTTCGACATTCATCTCTGTAGTCGATATTGTCTAATATTCTAATTGCTTTCCTTTGGTGTCCGAATATTCTATCACAATCTGTTACATGTCCCCAGGCGACAATACCATAAGAAATAATGGATTCATACAAGGAAAAATATGCCGTTTGAAGAGTTGCTTTTGAAACTTGTCTGGAGAAGTTTCTTAGTAAAAATAGATTTCTCATGAACTTTTTTTGCTAGTTCATTTATATGATGATCCCATTTCAACTCACTACTGCTATTGTATAGAAAAACACATGTTGGGGTTTTGTAGACTTTCCAGAGAAAATCTCAGAATAAAGTGTTGTTTGAATTGGAATCACAAGAACGGAATTGAATTGAAATCATAAGAACGTTACACAATAATATAATATACGAAAGTTATAAAATTTCACTTATATGGAACACTATTATCCTTAATGGCGCCCTACGAAGTTTCGGAATAAGACACCTTTTGCTAGATTATTTATGTGAAATAAAAGCAAGAACTGATGAGGTCATCTTGTGGAACACCTACTGACAGATGATACATCTCTTATACCTATTATTTATGTTGAAAATATCTAAATTTTCTAACAGCAATTTGTGTTATATGCCATTAAGGACTTTTGATAGGTTCAGGAATATAACTCAAGTTCAAGAACTTTTTCTATAATCCTGTCAGCATGTTTTCTCTGTAAAATAACCTAGAATCGTATTATGAATAAACGAAATAATCTTTTTATTTTAGGAAATTCATCCTAATATACATACAATTCGGAAATAAATAACGTTTTCAAATTGCTTACTCACATTGATAGATTCAGTAGGGGTCATTGAAAAAAAGGATATTGAAATATTCCATGATTTTCACTTGGATAAATGTATATTTTTTGAATTTATACAAACAAATCCCATATTCACATTTTACGTTACTAGACTTTGCCAGTAAGATGTTCAAATCTTGGGTAATGAAACATATTTCATTTGAAATCATAATGCCAAGTAAACACAAAATAGGAATTTCAACTGCTTTTTGGTGTGCCATATGCCAAGTTTTGAGGGTTCCTAACTCCCCTTTCAGTAGCCTGCAAGATCACTCTTGAAATAATCATAGCTGATATGAAGATAGTTAACATTGAATAGGATTGTTTCACATTCTTTGTTTCTTCATTTGCGCTGTCAGGACTATGTATTTATTTACTCTCTTCAACATATTCAAGTAACACTTCATTGTGAGATTTTCACTAAACAGTTTAAATTTGGCTGTTAATTGGCTAATTTCAAAACATATCTATCATTTCAATAACTGTTTATTTGTGCTTGACTGTCCTTTTTTTTCACGACTAAAGTATTATACTGTAACAGGTAATTATTTTATTATTATAGTGAATGATTTTTTTCAGGTCGTTTGAATGAGCCAGTTGCAGAACTTTTTCAGGTGAAAGATCGACACCATCAAAACTATATCCTAAGTCCTGTAGGTAAATATGTTGGTGTCATATAATCTGCCATTTGTTTACCTTTTTTAATTTCAGACTCATGAAGAAGCTGCTACTGATTTATTGTCATCTGTATCTCCTATTTCATACAAATATTTTCCTCTTAGACTGTACCAGATTTCCAGTAAATTTCGTGATGAAATGAAACCAAGATTTGGCCTGATGAGAGGAAGGGAGTTTGTTATGAAAGATATGTATACTTTCGATGTTGATGTTGAGAGTGCCAAGAAAACATATGAAGAAGTTTGTGAAAGCTACAATAGAGTTTTCGATAGAATTGGAATAGAATATGTTAAAGGTAAACTAATTTTCTGTGTAAAAATGTGTAAAAAATATTTTCTTTATTGAAATTCTGTGTGAAACTGACTCCGTTATTTTGCTATAGTTAATTTATTCAACTACAAAAAACTAGTATTGAAATAATTTCACATGCTGTATTTTAATTTCTGTTATTTGTGTTATAGTTTTGGGTAGTTCTGGTACCATGGGTGGTACCATGTCTCATGAATACCAATTCAAAGCATCCATAGGCGAAGACAGAATCTTGTGTTGCAGAAACTGTAACTATTCTGCAAACATAGAACTTTGTGGTGAACACAACTGTCCAAATTGTGGGGAAGGATCTAATATAAATTTGCAAACAGGCATAGAGGTGAGTACATTTAAAATGAACTGTGAAATTGTTTGTCATTAGAGGTAAAATATTGCCTTCAACTCAAAAGGATTTTGGGATACTACTTTCGTTAAATAATCTTGAAGTAAGGCAATCAATCATGAAAATATGCTTCCTCCTGACATTCTTTGAATACAAATAAAACGGAAATGTAAGGAATATAATAAAATTATACAATAACTAATCTCTGAGTAGGTGCTCATTCGATTTTTGAACCTGTAGTGAAATTTGATCTTTTCTGACATTATAAAATTGTTTCCATTAGGGATGATAATATACCTGTATTTGTTTAAAAAAAAATCTGCATTCAAAATATTATTTCAATTATTAATCTATGGAGGCGAGGTTAGGTTAGGTCAAAAGTGTTTATTGTGGCTTCTTAACAAAGCCGATTAGTTTGTATGGTGTGTGGTCTTTCAGGTCAGATAGTAAGATCAGGGCTCTGCCAAACTCTGAAAACCTTATTCGGTCCCCAGCGGGACGGGCACAAAGTATGTGCTCTGTTGTTTCATCATTTTCCAAACAGAGGCGACACACACTGTTTTTCGACAGTCTAAGTCTCTGCAAATGATGATTCAGATGATAGTGACCTGTGAGAAGGCCTGTTAGACATCGTAGACATCGTAGTCCAACAACTGTTTGGTATCAAGCTTCGAAGAATGAATAAACGCCTTGGAGTGAGTCAATCGTGGAAAATTCTGCCAGAAGTCCATAATTCTTATTGCTATCCAGGTGTTCAAGGGGTTCAATGGAGGCTAATGAAGATTACAAATTTTATTGTAAAAATATAAAACATACAAATATTTGGTAAATGTGATAAAAATATAAAATAATAATATTTGATACAAATAAAAAACTTCAGACTCATCACTATTCATAATCCATCAAAAAACACTTCTACTGCACACCAGAACTGTAGCACTGCTCAACACGCATTTCATGAAAAACGTGGGTCTTGATAACTCCAACATGGTTCTGGGATGTGACAAAAAAGCTTCTGTTGGATTGATGTTATAAGTATGCCTTTAACTATGGCTAATTATTTCACCAAAGTTCATTTCGTTTAATTCTTATATATCTCTTTAAAAAGTGATAAACTATGAAGGATCTAAATAGGTGTCTTGTGGAACATCATTCATTTATCATAATAAACGTATGCATAATAATGTCTATGGAAATTTCATCTGTGTTCTGTTGGCCTTTTTCAAGTTTTCGAAAATTTTCTTGTTTCATTAATGCTTCTCGTACCTAAAAAAGTTTTGATACATTAGAGTTGAGAATTATGGGACAATGATATTTATTCTTTTCTCTCAGGTGTCTTGTGCTTTCTCGAACCTGTGACAGCAGGTGTAAGAAAGGGACAATTTTGCGATATCATCTGAAATGCAGATTTTTGAACTACATTGAGTGTGGTATTCATAAAAACATACAATATTTCAGAAGGTATAATAGTTTCGTCACAGGATAACGTAAAAATCCCTTTCAGTTATGACTTTTTGGAAATATTTTGTATAAAACTACCTAGCCCGTGCTACCTAAACATACATATAATCCGTAGAGATAATTTCGGCTTTTTTATTTAGAAATATGTCTCTGAAGACTGTATTGAGGGAAGATACGTACGTATAAGAAAACACATATTTTGAAATAAAATATCGAAACATTCATCTCTCCCAAAGTAACTACACCATAGAATCTGGTAAATGCCTGCTGGAAAACAACTACTTCCCCGGCTAATACCACGCTGGATATTGAAATGAAATGCTATAATCAAAAAGGGGTACATCTTAATATACAACAATGATAATAATGTTAACATTAATATACATATAAACACAATAATAAGAAAATACTAATACTTGTTAACAAAGACAACCTACAATAATTGAATATACAAAAAAATACATTCTAATTTGGTATCACCTTAATGGTCTCTTAAATGGTTCCTTTTGAACAGAATGAGACTGGTAGACTTCACATTTTCAGGTAGACTGTTATACTAAGAATTCCTTTAAAAAAACGTTTTTGTTTGATTATTTACATACAAATTATTTCTTATTCCATTGAAATAAATCTGACAGGCATTTATGCAAGATACCTCACCTAGGTTAGTCTCATAAATGTTTCTCGTTCATTCAGCAGCAAGACTGTGCTGAAAATATTCAAGTAGATCAGCTACAGACCGGTTTCGGGCTATTACCTCTCCTCAGTGCAGAAAAGATCCGTGTTATATCTGTCGATTATAATTCAATATCCAGCGTGGTATTAACCGGGGAAGTAGTTGTTGTCGGGCAGGCTTTTACCAGATCCTATGGTGTAGGTAGTTGGGAGAAAGGATATTTCTATATTTTATTTCGACTTTTTTTTTTTTTTTTGTTAGAAATATGTGCTTAATTCATATTCTCTTTGGAGAAATTCTTGAAGACATATGTGAAATATTTTTTCAGGTGGGCCATACCTTTTTTCTTGGTGACAAATATTCAAAGCCTCTTGGAGCTGTGTGTTCTTCCACAAATTGTAAATCTGAAGTACTTCAGATGGGAAGTTATGGATTAGGCTTGAGTAGAATTTTGGCAGCTGCAGTTGAAGTGTTATCTTCGGAGACGGAAATGAAATGGCCAGATGCTTTAGCTCCTTATAATGTTATAATATTGCCACCCAAGGTAAATTAAATAAAACAACTTTACACCAAGTCTAATTCGTAAAATACAAAGATACTTTAGTTTATATTCCAAGGTCAAAAAATAAGTGGTGTACTTATTGATGGACTCCTTCATTTGAAATTACTCCTTAACCAATAAATTAAATAAATAATGTACAATATAAGATACATATACACTGGCGTGGCTAATCATACATATGTATAATTTTCATGTAAACCAGACAACTGATATGACCTCTAAATTTCATTTTGACTTCAAACTTTCCTAAAATTGATGTCAAATACTGTATCTTCTGCAGTTAATTTTACAGAACATTCATTTTACACAAAATGTGGACTGTTTTAGTCATCTACTGATGATGCTAACGTGGTTAGTGAAGCACGCCGAGAAACAGTACTTTTGTTCAGGCTTTGGAAAAGTGTTTTTAATAGATTCGTTTTAAGCCATTGATTCCAAATGCCACTTATCAAGCTTGAACCCTACGATAAATTACTCAGACACTGTCTACGTCTTGACCAGATCCAGCTTCTAGATGTGTTTTAGGAAAGAGTGGAATGCTTGGAATACCTGGGACCAATTTCAAATAAAATATTTTCCAATTTCTTGAAAATTCCCAATTTTGGAAAGTTTCAATTAAACCTTCGATTTTTTTATATATTATCACAAATCCGCCCTGGCTGGCATTTTCTATTAATTCCATGAAAGCACCTAGACATCCAATCTTCACAATACTACATAAAGGTAGGTTAAGTTTCCCATTTTCAGATGAGTCAGAAGTTTCATGCCGTAAGGAATAAAGCAGCATTCATTTCAAACTGTCATCTTAAGTGAAATTTATCTAATCTTTTACAAATTTCAAATTAACTGTGAGTCTTTCTTCATAAAAATGCATATGTAGAATGAACAAGTTTTAAGAGATGAAGTTGGCCAACTGTTATGAATGAAAACTTATGAAATGTGCATGAATATTCCATTTGAAAAATCAGTAATTTAACTCTTCCTGGCTTTTTATTTAACTAAGTTTTATAGTTTATGATTTGAAACTGCCTACATCAGTCTGCCTGACATTATACATGGTTTCCGGTTGTTTATTTGAATTTCTGTTTTATAAAATAGTGGTATTTGGAAAATATTTAGAAAAAAGAATAAATAGAAACTGTCATTTCTTGCCAAGAAAAAATATCCACATGTGGCCTCATAAATTATTGAATTATAAGAAAAATAATTTGTTAGCTATTGCTAGTTGAAATATTGCGTTTTCATTTTCAGAAAGGAAGTAAGGAAGAACCACAGACAAAGAACGTTGCAGAAACTCTGTACACAAAACTAGAGGAGGTAATACCTAGTTTGAGAGGCAATGTCCTTCTGGACGATCGAACTTCACTAACTATAGGACGAAGATTTTTAGATGCAAAACGTACAGGTTACCATCATATTGTTATTATCAATAAAAAAACCACAGAAAGTCCACCCTTTTACGAACTGAATGATACAGCAATGAATAGGCAGTTGATTTTAAGTGAAGAAGAACTCATAGATTATATCAAACAAAACACTGTATTTTAAGTATTTATTTTGTAAACAATATATTGTTGTCCGATTATTTCAGTTGTATTTGCTATAAACAGGTGCAATGGACGTACGTAATGTCATGAATGAAGGGGTCATAGATAGAAGTTCGAGAGTGGTAGTTGGAACTTGGCCTTCTGATTTAACATATTGTCTCCAAATTTTGCATTGATTTTTTCTTGCTTCTTTTGATGATTTGGTTTCACTATATCTACAAGGTTTCCGTGGGAGAGTTTCAGGTAATTCTTGATCACTAAAAATTTAATATAATAAATATCATGTAGTTTACAGTGGCAGATGTAATATGCAACAATAACAATTGTATGACTTACAGTCTCAAAACAAAATTTTTCTATTTGATAGATGCTGAATGTATCAATGCTAGTTTCAGGGTTCATTAGCCATGGTCTGTAATTTTATGGTAGACATGTCTATGACTGCGGTTGACTTCAAAGGTGATGAGGCAATAAACCCAGTGCTCGCCACATTTATTGTGTATGTGCTAGGTTGTAGATGAAACGTCATGCATATAAAACCTGCAGACCACGTCCAGAAAACCCGGAAAATAGTTTTGATACACTTATCTCCTCTGGGCTTGAATGTTTACACTCTTTGATCGGAATCTGTGAATTCTTATTTGACATCTATAATTTTATACAAAACTGTATTTGGTGGGCTATTTAAAGCATTTACAAACAAATGATAATAGTGACCTCTGGAGAAATTTGTTTTGAAGTATGCTATACTGTACACACTGTACACCTTAGTATTATACATGTGCATTCTTATAGTCATCTGTGACATCAGTTTCAAGTCAATCAGGGTCTGGAAAGTTTTTCTTCTGTAAAAGTCAGGTATGTCGTGTCTGTTTAATATTGAAAATAAATTTTGTTATAGAAAAACTCCCAGGAAAGATGTAAAAGTACTGGGAAAATCAATATTACCAGTTGAAATTCAAATGATTCACATCTCTCGACACATTAGGATCTGACGAATGTCTCTTAAAAACAATTACTTTCCTGACTAATACTATGACAGATTAGATTATATCCTAACAGAGGAAATTGACGCAGATACTTCTTGATAGTCCTGTAGCAGAACTTTGTTAAAATCAATTGTGTGATCACCTATAACTAGATTCAAAGTATTATTTCCCGTCAGCGCAGAACAGATCTAACCAAGGCAGCAGCTGTGTCTGGTAGGTAGATCCAAAGTAAATGGGTCTATTCAACCCTTCCACAAGGATTTATTGTGACTCACACCTATTAAACTTGAAATTCTCAATGAAGCTGATTATGTACTTCATTTGATGAGTCTGCTGGGAAGTGTGGAACTGTACCAAGCACCCTGGCTGCAGGGTGCTAACTACACGCACTAGTTAGGAGACATTCTCGCGATCCACCCAAACCAGAATGTGCAGATCTGGAATCGTACCTTTTGACCATCTTCTGGAATATACTCTACTGGCATACTGAAGAGATGATATTGAGGTTGTTGAGTATTCAAGATGCAAGATTTCCTGCTTAATGACCACAGCAGAAAGTTTTCTATATACATTAGATTCAGCCATAGATGACTTTTTTTGGCATACTGACATTTTGAAGAGATTCTGATATTGAGGTTGTCTGATGTTCCCTCCTTAATAACTGTAGCAACCTTTTCATATGAGAACATCTGTGAGTCTGACGATACAGTAGATTCAGCTATGTAGGGCTTTTTTGTCTCTAGCTTGGATGAATCTTCATTTGAGCATAAGCGTTTGCTGACGTGCTCAGCGGGAGTTTTTATTCCTTTTTTATGTAGAATCTGCTTCTGCTGCTCAAGAATTTAGTGCAAAGCAGATTCATAAGATATCCTTTTCTTAAGGAGGCAATGAATCGTTTCGTGGTTGCATAACCTAACATCCTAGGTTTGTAAACGGAACAAGAGTTAGAGAATTTGAAAGCTCTTGCTCTTCATCCGATGTTACAGGGAGGATAGTTGTCCATCTCATATGTAGGTCGGATTTTTGATTATTTCATGCTCCTTAAAAAGTCACATAAGTAGCTAGGGAAGGAAGGTCCATTACGAAAGAGACCCACATGCGTCAGTCAGGACAGATGTAAAAAGACAGCAGTGCTGTTTGGTACTACTGGCTAGTTATGCTTGAAGAAGCTATTGTATAGCGAAACACGTGTCGCAGTTTTTGTAAAACCTTTATAGTGAAAATCATACAATAAACTGTATTGATTAGTTTTTTGATATGGATTTTCATCAAGTATCGGCCAGTTCTATTCAACTACTGGCTTTATCGACGCTCCACCGTATATACGACAATGGCCCAAGCAGGGCCAAAGTGTCCCTTATATCAAAACTTGACAGAAATCAAATGATAATGATAACTGATTTTTGGAGTTATAACATAATGTTGGGCCTACTCTCTGAACCTTCTCCATTTAGAGGTCACCAAATAGGGCTGTATATTAGAGAGCTCAGCTGCAGGCAATGGAACAGAGGTAGTTCGTCATGTGAAACATGAAAAACACGTGTCACGGTTTTGTAAACCTTTTACAATGAGAATAAAAACAATATTGGTATGTTTTGATATGATTTTTCATCAAGTATGGGCTAGTTCCATTCAATTTATGAACATCCCAAATTATGTCCAGAGAATATTACGAACATCCAATAAAGGATGTGTATATAATAGTATAGGAAAAAATATTCATGAAATGGGTGCTATGAAAAGATAGACATAAAAAGTCAATAAAACAGGAGGCTGCAGGGTTATCCAGAGATTTATAAAAAATGGATAAGTCAGATGACTCCCAAGTAGTAAAAAAAAGTACTTACCGAATTGCACTTCTAGGAGGTATGACAAACTCAGGAATGGGTTTCATGACTGAGCCCCGTTTCTTGGTTGTAGATATTTCCATTGGTTTCAGAAAAGGATCAAAAAATTTACGAGGTTTTCCTAATATTCCAATTCCGATTTGCAAATTTTCCAGTAGTTCCTCAGGAGCAGCGTATGCTGCTTCCAAAAACTGTTGCCTTTCATCCAAGCTTAAAAAATTCATAAAATGTCGATCGTCGTCGCGTACTTATTTGAAAGGTATGACAGAAATAATACTAAATAACTGTACCAACGATAATCCAAAAGTTTAGTGCTACAATCTATATACATACAATGACATTCTTTCATATAGTAATAAATTGAACGCTCCTTTGAACTTTTCCCTTACCGATATATGTAATGATGATATTTTGACTGCTATCAAAGAAATAAAATCTAATGCTTTAGGTATTGATAATATAAATATCAAGATGATTTCTCTAGTGATACCACACTGTATTGATGAAGTTAAACATATTTTCAACGAGTCCTTCAGACAGGGTATTTTTCCAGATAATAAATGGAAGGTTGCTAATATATTTCCAATTCTGAAAAAGAAGGCACCTACCACTTTCAGTGACCTGCGCCCTATCAGCATTCTGCCCTCATTCTCTAAAATATTCGAGAAAAATGTTTCCCGTCAAGTAAGAGCTTTTCTGGAAGAAACTCGAATACTCCCGTATGAGCAGTCTGGGTTCCGCAAAAAACAAGGCGTGCTTGAAAGTAATCAACGATCTTGCGAGAACCAGAGATGAATCAGAAGTCAACATTTTGGTGCTGCTTGATCAAAGTAAAGCTTTTGATTTAGTTAATTTCAGTTTGCTCATCGGCAAGCCTAAGTTCATAGGATTCGATGACATTTCTCTTAAACGGATGACCAGCTAACCCACAGGCCAATCACAGAGGGCCAAACTGGATGATTACTCATGGTCATCCCCAAAAGAAACCATCTCAGGTGTACCGCAGGGAAGCATATTAGGGCCCTTGGTGTTTACTATGTTTTTTTTTGAATACCCCACTTTCTTATCGCATTGTCAGTTACATGTATGATATACAGTTATATTTGTTCATCCATAACACTGATACAGGAAGTTATGTAGCCAATATAAACTCATAAAACATTCCTATACTCGGAGCATCATGGACTCAAAATCAATCCAAATAAAACTTTGGCTTTATGCTTAGTATCTCAAGGACAGAAAGTTGAAACTCAAATAAACTTTAGGCTCACTGTCGATGACGCATACATTGACTGGGTCTCTTTGTCTTTCCATGAGCATGTGAAAAACATTTTCAAAGTATCATTCTTCAAACCCAAATAGCTGTATGAAATCAAGTATCAGTTATCTGAAGAAATGAAACTTAGGCTAGTTGAAACTTTTATTTACCCCCATATCGTCTATTGTTGTTCAGTATATTACAATTTTTTACTGCAATACAACAAGCTGAACATGTCACACCATTTTTGTTAAAAACGAAGGAGCTGAATGTGAGGTAAAGAGTCCAATATTTATCATTTTTTTGTTCAAGTTGCTCCAAACTAAAACTCCTAGTTATTCATATAGTTTATAAAGTAGGCATTCTGACATACATATGCTCAATTTGAGAATTAACTCATTCAACATACCTAGGCACCGTACTTCCAAATTTGAAGGATGTTTTTCTTATATTGCCCCTTGGTATCTGAATAAAATTTCACACTTTTTACATCATAATATTCATCAATTCAAGAAAGAAATAAAATCATAGCTGCCTACTGTATTGTAATGAAATCGTTAAATTGACCAATATAATGCTGAAAATGTTAATAGTTATTAGCACCTATATGATTGTATTAGTTTTTTCTTTGTTTTCTCTCTTCTCTTTGTTTTGACAGTAAATACGTATTTTTATTTTATCATTATTTTCTTGCACACACTATATAATTTATGGGAGGGGTGGAAGATAGCCTCCGGCTAACCCTTTTCCTTTTATGCATAATAAACGATAATGATATTATTAAAAGCATATTTTCATGTATAAACGAAGCAAAAATGTCTTACTTTCCCACGTCTGTAACGCCAATGGCGAGCATTTTGTAGTCGTGATTTTCTAAAATAATTTCTTGAATCGCAGGCGACCGCTGAAGAAGCTTTCGTTCACTGATACAAGTTTTTCCTTTTAGTATTCGTTGTTCTTCAGGATTCGCCTTGTATACTGCAGTTTTCAAGTCATCATGCTCAATAGGATTGAAAGTGTCAGTTCGGAATAGTCTGTTCATCTCTTTTTCTAAGAAAAAGCAAACGGAAATATTTTGAGACTCCTTGAAGCAATATCAAAGTGTAGATGAAAACAGAAGGTTCATTCTTGAATATAACATAAATAAGATATCTTTGATTATTTCATTTCGTTTAGGAATATAAAAATACTTCTTGTCATGCCCTATTTACTATTCGCTAGCCTTCATTTCTTTCTTAAGTTGTTCACTTGTTTGGTTTGCACAAAACCGAATGAATGTTAATTTCTTCAACATTCGTAACCGGCGAAGTCAATATCACCTGTATAAAAAAATTACAGGGTCATACTTGCCCTCTCCAGTACTTCGCCCCGGTCATTTCATCATATCCTTTGGACACCATGTGGGAGGTGACTTTATGAAGCTTTCAAAGCTAATGACAAACCAATTTTGTAGAATTTCATCCAAATCTAAGTAACGCGCAATAGCTTTGTAATTTGTATGACGCAGACATTTGGAAATTGAGACGGATAAATAACAAATAATAGGAGACCTAGAAATGAACTTTGTGAGACTCCATGAAATGTATTTCATTAGTTCGGACTTCCATTGTCTAATATAATATAAATTGATTTGATAACCCTGAAAAAAAATTAAAAAAAATTAACTGAAAATAACAATTTTATTAAACAAAAAACTGAAATTACAAAGAAATAACATACAACAACAATTATACTTAAAACATTATATTTG